TTATCCGTTCCAAAACCAGACAGTTCCAAGGTTCAAATGTCTCATGGACATCTCTGAAGGTCTTTTGTGATCCCAACCACGACGGAGGCAGCAAACAAGGTACGCCGCCAGAAATGGCCTCATGAGAATTGGCCGCTGATTGAAGCCATCGGGGCAGCCAACGAACGTCACACCTGGCAGAAGCTCATTAGAAAGATAGTTAATTTCATTTCCTCGAACACGCTATTGGGAACGAACGAGCGCCTGTTGGGGGCTGCTGCGCTCAACACCCATTGAGAAGTGCAACAACTTGGATTTGTCACGTGATCTTGAAGAATTCGTATTCGCTGAAGCTCGCAAGCCCCACCAACTCAGTGAATATTCACTGAATGGCGGCTGCTCGGTGATCAACAAACTGACTGATTGATCGAATCAATGAGTGAGAGTGACACCGATTGCGCGGCCCATGCCGTGGGAAGCAGTGAGCCTTTCGTAATGCCAATCCCTTCCGTAAGCCCCTGCCCGCAATGGACCCCCATCACTCCGTTGGAAATCTTCCACTGGTCATCCCTGACCCACTCCCAGCTTCGTCGCAACTTTAAGCAGCCCTTCAAGGACAGGACTCTGCCGACTGGGTTTTCGCGCACCCACTGTACCCACGTGGGTCTTGCCACGTTTGAAAGCACAACTGCATACGAGTAAGTGGCAAGCGTGCCTGAGGCGAGAGCGCGCGCGCGGCGCCTTTGGCGCAGCGAGCTTTATTGGAAAGGGGGGGCGAGATTCCCGAATTGCAGGCCCAATCGCTGCCCCGTCAGCTCGCGCCGAGCAAACGGCATCGGGTCCCGCTGCAGGAGCTGGTTTTCGAATCCTGGATTGAGCACGAGGCGGACAATTCATTCATTACCGCGCACGGGATCGCCTTTTGGCCACGGGTGGCCGGATCGCCGTGCTGTCCGGCCAATGGGTGCTCAGCCCGCCGACCTGTGCTCAGAGCTGAAGCTGCCGCGTGCCCTGTGGCAACCACTTGTAATAGCTCTCTATTTCAGCACGAGCTGTTTGTTGAATTCATTTACTCATTGAGTAGATAGTCTACAGCTACTGTAATGTAGTTTATGCCAGGAAATATGGGACTAATTTTTTGCGGCACACGATTGCATTCAAATCACCCTGCGCCATGCAATTCAGATTTACCGGGTCCTTCGCTTAGAAGTAGAGGGCGCCATAATATTTACCATTGTATTTCTCAAGATCCCTTCTCTATTCAATGGCATGTGTTCGGAAATTGTGGACAATTCCCTCTGCGAGTACAAAATTCGCCTATTGTCAGCGCTCTCTTCCGATTCTAAATTATATAGAAATGCTTTGCCATTGTTTTTGTAACTTGCTTCGCTAACTTAAGATTCTGTCTGATCTTGGCGGTGAAAGATCTGCATCAGGTGCACCACGTTCAAAGGTACTTTGAAGAATCCCCATTGGCGCATTTGCAATAGCCTTGGCAAGAAGGTGCTGCTCTGGTGCGACGAAAACCGACTTTTGAGTTGTGGGGCCTGGAGCGATGGTCCGATGCACTGTGTGGAAAATGGAAAAAGGAGCAAGATAAACATAGGTATAGCTGCAAGAGAACAGACGCCACAAAATTTCGCCTATTTGTGTTGCATCTCACAAGAGTAATGCACGATTTCCAACAAATTTTCACAATCAAAACACCGAAATGGATAGGGTGGAATGGCCAATCGTTGCCAACGTTGGCAACGAACTCGTTAACGAACGGCACATTCAGGACGCACTACTGACCACATATAGGCGTTGTATTGGCTCTCGAGAAACGAGCAAACTAGTGCGTGGTGCAGGGGCTCCAAGAAGCGATAAAGAAGCCCTCGTCCTGAAGTCAAAGGAACATGCCAAATGCTTTTGCACATGTCACGAGTCGGAAAATTCTTCATTGATGACAACGTGAGAGAGATTCGAAGAAAGCCAGTGGTGCTGAGAACAAGGCCGGACTCTTGGATAAGGAGGCAAAGTGTCATTCAGCGTTAATTATAATTTGAACAGGAAACGGTGCAAATCTGCTCATGGCTCTTTGCGCATCTATTAGAAGCTTCCCCTTAAAAGGAAATCTCTGATCACTCTGTGAACCTGAGAGGACCATTTTCGCGGCAATTTTGTTGTTGCATGTTTCCGGGTAGTGGTTGTACTTGCCCTTTTTGCTCTCTATATCATCAGTGGAATATTTGTCACAAAATTCAATTTTGTGGCAATTTGCCATCGATGTACCGAATTCTTCAAAGTCAGCTATGCCTGAAGTGGAACCTATCTAGTGAAGCACCTCGCTTGGCGTCCTTGTGAACTCAACACAGTCTATTTTTATTATATAATCAACATGAACGCTCCAATAATTCATGAGAATAAAACTGAAATGTGCCGTGTGCCACGTTACTTGCATTGCACTCACACCACGGTGGTGTGTGGGTGATCCACACAGGTGCGCATATGATGGCCATCATAAATGGACATGGCCTGCAGTTTTATTGGTGCGCATACCCGCACGAATTTTCTGCATTCAATGTGGGATCACGTTCGTAAATCATGAAGCCACCCTATAAACGCATCACGTGGCATGGGCCGCCCCCCACACACCCCACGCAACCCCGCATCTAAACTATTGTGACAACAGGGGTTTTGTTGACTCGAAAGGGCTTTTGAAAGGGCTTTGCACAAAAAGGAACAAAAAAACGCTGCAGCGACAAGATTGGTTGCACGGGCCCCTCAGGTATATCCACCCTTGCGCACGTAATGAGCAACATGAACAACGCTTTTAATGAGCGCCGCTGAATGCAAGCGGGGGACTCTGGGTACCAAGGCCCAACGCGCCAGGGTCACCCCACCGAGGCCCCAAACCGTCGAGCGGCGGCGGCAGGATGGCGGCGGTCGGCGCCAGGGGTGCTCGCTGCGGAACGGCTGCGCCTTCCGCCAAGCTGCGGTGAGCGCGACGCGATCTGACGCTCTGTTCGGGTCGATCCCATGGCTTTGCGCGTGTGTAGATGTTGGGACTGCGCTCTGTGCACTCAAAGCCTGGAACAGCGAGGCCAGATCTGGTGCAGTTGGGAGGGTGGGAGGGTGATTGAGTGGAGTAGAGTGGTGTCCTTACCGGTTGAACAATACAGAAGTTTGCATTGGCGTCCGCTGCGCGGCGCTTTCGCACAGTGCTGAGGTCGCGCGTCGCCTTGTAAAGTCCGATAATCTACAAAGAGAGAGGGAGACAGGCAAATGCAAAAGGCAACCGCGCCCAAGCAAGCGTGCGTGAGACGCTTTTCCATGCTGTGGGAAGATGATGCGGAGTCTCGAGGGGAAGCCATGCGTGCGCAGTTGGGCGGTGTCCGATCCCTAGCTGGCGCTGTCGCCTAGCTCGCATCCTTCTGAGGGGAGATGGGGAATGTTGCATTTGCTGATGACCTGACGATTGGATGATTGGATGGGGTTGGAAATCGTCGCTGTTGCGGGTTGGCACCGAGCGCTTCGCTATTTTGCAGGGTGCAGGGAGTGCCAAGCTTCAGGGGAGCGCCTGTCCGCCAGTCGACGCGCGTGCAGAGTACGTTGTGGATGGTGTGTGCTGGTTTGGGGCCCCTGGGCAGGGGATGGAGTCACAGCTCTTTGTCGTGTTGGTGCTCCCCACCTTGTCTGATTGACAACAAGGGGCGCATGCCCGCTGCCGGCCGCGCCATATACATCACGTACATTTATGCTCATCTTGCGCATATGCGTATCAAATATAGCAACCGATCTGATACTCCCTGCGTTGTCTGATTGGAAACAAGCAGCACACACACAGCACGAGCAGACACTGACTTGGGGTAATCTTGGCACTACTCAATTGGGGTGGACCTTGTATGGATGGTCGCTGAGGTTCAGGAGATTGGCTCATTGCACAATGGGAGAGGAAGAAGCCATGCGTGGGCATCCCACTCCCCCTTTTCCTGAGCAAGATAATGTGAGAGCCTGCTCCTACGTTGCTGTGTGATTATCTGCAGCTTTGAAGGGAGTGTATGGAAGCCAGGTTGCCCCCTGTCTCACTGTTAGGTGGTGGTGGGTGGGTTGTCCCACCATTGAAGATTCCCTTGTCTTGTTTATGTCACAGAAGAATCCTATTGTGTGATTGCCGAATTTCAAGGGCAAGATCGATGTTGTGTTGTCAATGGCCACCACAAGAACTCTGTGTGCAGCTTGGAGCAGGACAATGTATTAAAATCGCAGCCGTTTTTGCTGAACTGTAGTTGTTCAACAGTTTTGTTTTGTTGAGACTTGAGGGGCAGACACTTGTGAAGGCTGCAAACTCAGCACAAGGACCACTGTATGCATGCCTTTGCACATTGTCTTGCTATGTACAGCGCCCAAACAGTCAAGTTGGAATGAAAGCCATCTTGGTGATCCCTGTAGGCAAAATCTTGGCCTCCGAAGGTTGGCCTCTGCTGAGGGTTGGCCACGCTTTGGCCTGAGTCCCCCTGAGGTGATCAGTTGCTCCAAGTACTGCTGGAACTGTCTTATGCATGCTTACTCAAACACTAGACAATGGACTGAATGAAAAGAGCCTGGAAAAAGACATGACTTCGCCCAGTTATGGTGACACTTTGGGAGAGACACGCCCTGTACAATGTTGACTCTTTATGTTGAGGAAGGTTTTATTCCGTCCCATGGACCCCAACCGAAACTGCAGCAACAACGTGTGTTTGATCTTGAGCAAAGTGTAGCACATGTCACTGCTGCACCTTGATATTGCACGCTCCCTCCCGGGGGGTGCCGCACAAAATTTTGTGGTACTGCCCTGCTGGGAGTGTGTGTACAAAACTTGGTGCAAACTTCATGCACATACAATCAATACTTTGGCCCAGTACAACCCTTTTCGAAAGAGTGCTAAAGTATGGTTGCCTAATGATATGTAGCTTGTAAGAATACTATAAACCATATATCATGAATAGCAATAGGCATGAACGTAGCTTGTCATGCTGTGGCATCTGTTCACCTAGGAATCCAGCATCGAAGGGCAGTGGTGGAGGCCACTAGTGGCAAATCGTCATTCGACCCGAGTGAGAAGATTGACGACTTCACATCATACTTAGAGGTATGTTGCATGCAAAGCAGCATATGCATCTCCGCTGCTAGGGGTCACTTGTGGTCTTGTGCACAGAAAGTTCAATGAAGATTGGAGGTCTGGCACACTTTGCCCTGTAGCTGCAATTCCAACAATCGGTATACCAAGAACAAACAGCTGGTGTTTTCTGGGCTTGTGGGGTTGTTGGCATTGCCAGTATTGATGGAGTACATGCCTGTGCACTCTATTGCTTGTTTCTGTTTGATACTCGGTGGATAAGGTATGTGCACTGTGGGGGGGTTCATTCGATGTGTGGCTGTGTGCTGCCCCGTGTGTCAAACCTTGGGAACGTCAGTTCAACTCAGCTTGAATGCACTGTCACCACCTCAGGAACGAGGGATTGTGCAACTGTGGCACTTTTCTTTTGTTTATTATGTTTGCTGTTGTTTATTCTTCCAGAAGCATTGCTTGTTGTTGTCCTTGCCTATTGCTGGATCTTCACCAGGAATGTGACTTTTATGTGATTGCTCATAATCTCAAGAGAGATTAATCAATGCAATATGGTGTCATGCCACCATCCAGCATGCCATCAACAATAATGTGTGGTACGATGTGGTGTACGGAAGATGATTCTGGGACATTTAAACGAGCTTACCGTGTCTGGCTGTGCTTGTCAAGCCCTACAAGGGAGGTACAGGAGCTTTGCTAGTCTGCCTGATCCCAAGCACTACCTAGTGGTAGTGCATGGGAAGAGCATTGCGATGTGTCATGATTCAGTAAGTGCTAGGACTGGCAGCTATCCATGAAAGAAAGAAACATCACATGTTTGGATTGGACAAAGAGGCACAGCGGCTTGAACCAAATTGCGGTGCACAGAAACAATGGGAGGAGACAGAACAGAAGCCAGCTGCTGTGGCGGTGATCCTTGCTGGCCTTGTGGCCCTCTATGCAGTCAACGGCGTTGTTGGCAGCGTGGAGAAGATTCCCATCTTTGGGTTCGTCTTTGAGATCGTGGGCATATTGGTGTCGGGGTGGTTTGCATTTCGGTACCTTGTGTTCGAGAGTGACAGGTATGTGCAATTCCTTCCCAACTGTACTTTCCCATTCAAGGAATGCATTCAGCGCTGAATGAGCCCAACCAGTAGATGATTCGCATTATCCTAGTGTATGTTAGTTTGGCTCGTTCTGTTCATGGGGGATCATTGTCTTTCCAGTCCAACCTCTTCATCGCATCGCAGTTCTGCAATTATTTACGACTCAGAAAAGGAATGTGCTGGACTGTTGCCCGTGCGTATCGTATCTACACCTTGAAGCATATGAACGATAAGGAACAAGGGCGGTCTCTGTCTCATTTTTTGTCTTGTTCTTCTTTGTGTGTTCTGTTGTGATTTAGTTCTTTTCTTGTTCAAATTAGGTAGAAAATTGAAGGGGCTAGGTGCCACCCTTCTCTGCCCTAACCATGGTTGCTGTTGCCACTGCACAACCCGTGAACGAAATTGTGTTCAGACTTTATCTAACTGTCGGCTGTTCCTGGTATATGCCTTGTATTGTTGTTGCTTTGCGATCTATTGAATCAATTGCTGCTAAGAGACTGAAGGGCTCCACTTTGTTGCTGCTCGTTGTGTTGACACTTGTCCGACCACATTGCTGATTCAATGGTTTTGCTTGCAGGGCGGAGTTCAAGCAGACGTTCGATGACTTCATCAGCAAAATCAAAGGCAACTAATACTGAGAAGCACGGTTGAGATCGCAGTTCAAGGAGACTGTGATGACCTCATCAACAAAGCCCAATGCAATGAAGGCTGGAACGCGTCAGTGGGAAACGTGTGATTCGAGAAGGCAGACATGTTGAAACAACGCTGAATCTGTTATCACAGAATTTGTGGCTGAACATTCCAGCTTTAATGGTGTGCGCTTTGTTGACGAATACGTGGCAAGTTATCACCTGGATGGCCCCCCTGAAGGCGCCTGGATACACAAACATCCGAAAACTGTTCTTTGTATGCGGCGGCATTGTCCAACGTGCTTTTCCACAGAGCAATGTAACGGTGGCCAATACAATGGGTCAGCTCTTTCAGTATGGTGAACGCAGGTTGGATGGCACACCCACAGCAGAGGACCACCGGGAGTGTTACATAGAGCGCTTTTTGAATTGTGGTGCTCTCAAGACCGCCAGTTGTCTGCAAAACATTGTAATAACAGTGCTATACCTGTAGTTTTTGCGCATGGCATCAAGGGAATACTATACCCCTGAAATATGTTAGAATGTATAGCCAGCTCCCAGGTTACTGGCCACTGTCGGCCTGTGCTCGTTCACTTCCTCACAAACGCCATTTCTGATTTTGCTCCAGGGTTTCGAGCTGGGCTCGAAGTATGTGGTGGGCCCATACAGTGAAACGGGTGCTCTGATACTTCTGCAGCTGTATTGTGAAAAAATGCATGCTGGTCGCTAATCATTACTAGCCAATCACTACTCTTTAAGGGCAACGCGAAGCATGACGGAATGGAACTGCACATGCAGCGGGGCCATATTTTTGGCACCGTTTGCCTCAGACTGAAACAAATGTCTGCAACGTGTTTCCAACATCACTTAAGAACTAAAACCACTTGCCACTGTGTTCTCGTAATGGCACTGTGGGTCTTTAGCAACGATCAGAGGCCGCCCTCGTGTGCTGAGCTGTTGCAGGCCACGCGCTCTAATTGCATTCAGGCCCTTGGAAAGGCGAGGCTATTTTGAGCCAAAGGATGGGCGGGGGCCCTTCCCTGCATGTCGGACCGGGAGTTCTGGACAGTCGCGCCAGGTGCGCAGTGGCTGGGGCTACCAATGGACACGACGAGCGAGCATAACTCGACTGGCACCAATGCAGCGACATCAAGGCACTTTTGCAAGTAGTGATACAGCACACCAAAGGAAGTGCATTCTGCGAAAGAGCGTTTCATCAGCTAGGCACCCCAACCAGATGACGGCCCCAACCACAATGCGAAACCGGGGTTGAAGCTCATGCAAACACTGATGAAAGGGATTGTTGGGGTGCGCGCTTCAAGTCGGCATACAATGCAATGAAGGCCACACCACGCGTTTGCTCCTCTTCCGGTTCGAAACACGAGGGTGCAGTGTGGTTTCGGCAGCCTAGAATCGAGAGCGGCGCCTGCGGCTGTGCTGCTCGTAATGGTAGCCATCGCGAACAACCATCGCTTGCCTGACCGCGTTGTTGAACGCTGGCAGGTAGCGCAATGCGACGAGGGGGACCTGAGCAACAGAAATCACAGGCAACAAAGGTTATGGCACGACGTGCAGAACATGCGCATATTATTTCCGATGCAGTACAATGAGCGCCGTTTCATTGGGTGTGTAAGCCAGCTTTTACTCGGCGTCTTCTCATGTGAAAGCCTTTGCATAATTGGTCATCTGACAGCCAGATTGGCGCCTCAAACACTGATGCACTCATCCTTTCCATTCTTTGTCACTCAATTTTGAAATTCGTTCTCATGCATTCGTGGAGTGCATGTCCAGCAGCTTCATTCTCGATTTACCTTTCCATTTTCCTTTGTACATTGCTTGCAATTTTACATCCATTTTCACCTACTCTTATCTATTTTGCATCTGTTTTTCATCAATAATTCATTGATTCAGGGAAGACACTATTTTGATTTTCGTACGCTTAACGTCAAATTGACGTTGAGATCATCCCCCCCTTCCTTGGTGCCAATCCTTATTTCGATGCCGGGATGACTCAGCAACACTACCTAACAATGCCATACAACTTCAAGATAGTTTTAAGGGAGAAAAACAGCCAGAATTGCAACGACTGCAGTGATTTGAATAGTTGGATGCCAAAAGCGATGATAAGCGCTGAGAGCAGCCCAAAAACCTGAAAATTGATCCATTCTAAGGACTACCAGGATGATGTAAAGTTTGAGGCAAATTTTCCAACAAGTTATGAGCTTCTTGCTGTTGATCAGCTGCGTTTTTGTGCATCTTCCCATATTATTTTGATTTTGTGCAATTACATTATCTCTTAGCGTCAATGGCTGAAGCCCCCCTCCTTAACGTCAATTTGAGATTAAGCGTACCAAAATAAAAATAGTGTCTTTCTTTGAGCAATGCCCTTCGCAGGCGCACCGCAATCCAAGCATTCGGCCACCCTTGCCTGCATGCCATCAAACGCGATCGCTGCCCTGTCTCCAAGGTCTGGGCAGCGCCCCGCTTCCTCAGGGTACCGCCGGTACCTGCTGCTGAAGTGCGTCAAGATGGTTCTGTAGGCCCCCGCCCGTTGGGAGCATGTTAGCGCCTGGTCCCAGGTGGAGTGGCCCGCCATGGCCGCTGCGGCCTCGCTCTGGGGGCCAAACGATGCCTCGTGGATGAGCAGCGTGGCGCCTTCGGCTGCCTTCAGCACGCTCTGGCACACCCTCGTGTCCCCTGACGGAGTGCCAGCTGCGCCTCAGCCCCCTTGCCAATGTACTGAAATGCGGCTTTGAGCACTTCTGCATACTACTGTGCTTAGTACTGTTGTATTGTATTGTGCGTTGTACTGCATTGGGCGGCAACATCCTTTCAGGACATGCGGTACAACCATGTGCAACAGAAGACGTAGCCTTTTGGCACCGTCCCAAAGGGTGTTCGGCATGTGCTGTACTGCACTATCGCTCATCTTAGTTTTCCATGGCAGCGTGCCAACTGTTCCTCAGTTGGCATGCCAACACAGAGATGTGCGTTTCCGAAGCTGCTTGTACATTGTGTTGTGCTGTACCACAGCTAAGCTGCACCACACTGCAGACATTGCAACCTGTTGTGCCCCACTCTATCAACAAACATCGTTGTGTACCCCGGCAGACTGCCATCCAAGCAGCAGCCCATACGCTAACACAATTCTACAGGACCATAAAACCTTTCAACACCATGCTGCGCTCTATCGTATCATTCTGTTGTGCGCCACAATGTACTTCATTGATGTGCATTGCAGTTTGCATTGCAACATGACTTGCTGTTCAGCATTTTCTACAGTGCAGAATCGATCTTCGAGTTTTGTGCCCAGGCAGCTGCAGACAATGGCCCTTTGCTAAACACGGCTCAAACAGCAGACAAAAAATGAAAACACGATTTTCACCATTCGGTGCAAATTGAATGCAGATAGAAACTTTGACAAATAGCCAATTCTTTTGCTAGTATAACAATTGCGCAGACTTGAACAGACTTGAGAATGTGGATGCCGCCACAGCAACCGGCACAGACGCGCGGCTAAAGGGATGCCTGATCTCTCAGGCACAATCGGCACTCTCGGAATCGGACATGCGAAAGATATCGCAGTTTGGGACAGTGCCCGAATTGGGCGAAGATGCCCATCTGTATTTAAATCTGTTGTTGTGCCCGGTTTTCTTCCGCTACTACGTCATATTAAATTCACGAATCAAATTCGCGAATTTCCATCCATCCTATTGACAGAGCATGGCTTTGAGCAGCATCAAGCCACAGCCCTCTCCTGGGAAAAGTGGCATAAAATGGTGTAAAGCTTAATACTCTAGAGTTCTTCTTTGTAAGACTTTTGCTGAATTGCTGACGCTACGGTGCTGACAACTGCGTATAAGCAGCAATAAAGGGCGGGACCAAGTGTGCTATTTGGACACCTTGTGGGCGCCATTTTCAGCCAGTATCCCAGTGGCCAGGATCCCCACCTGTGAACACCAACTTCCACCCAGCAGTGTGCCGCATGGAGAGACCCCACGCATCGAAGCAGTGCACCACCGGGAAGGACTCCCAACTCAAAAAGCCCAACTTCATACGAGAGGCCAACGCCAGCGGGCTGGTGCTGAAATCTCTGTGGTACACGAAACTGTACCTGATGCGTGCACCACAAGTGCCTTTTGGAAATTGTGCTGTTGGCCCTGTACTTGAGCAGTACAAGCACTGACCCCATGGGCACATGGCTTGTGCAAATGCAAGTCCAACAAATACAAGTCGTACAAGTCGTTGTCATGAGTATCAATGTTGTAATTTCTGACATTTCCATCATTTCTATGGAACCATGATGGCCAAGCTTGGTGTATACGGCGTGAACACTGAGTGTTTACACGTATTTACACATAGAGATAGTATTTACCCTTTCACGTGTGAATACGTGTAAAAATATGTAAATTTTGACTCAGCGTACACAAAGACAGTACATGCAGACTCAAGGAGTCCGGGAAATGGCAGCCAGACATGCTGGAGTGGACAGAAAACAACTTTTTGTTCGACGACATCTTTGCCGTTGCCGAGGTGAGGTGGACCCCTTGAGCTTTCCTGCCATGCGGCAGAAGACCCACATCTCTTCCACAGAGACGGGGGACTGACACCTGATCTTTCACATGCGGTGATGTGTGTATTCATGTGCGAATGGATTTGCCAAAAGAGACAGCCAACCACACCTTAGCTTTATCCAGCGCCTGACTCTGCAGAGCCACCTGCCTATGACGTCCGGGCCCACCACTAGGACGGGCGGGTCAGAGGGGTCGCGTGCAGCCAGCAGCCCCGGGAGGCCTAAAGAATGGTCCCCGTGGTGGTGAGACACCCACACACATTGCAGACGACGCACCTGGGCACCGCCAAGCACATCCTGTTCAAAGAGCAATACCTGCTGGAAACTACCCTTTGAGTCAGCATATCCTCAGAAGTGCTGCCACAAAAGTGGATGCAAGAAGCATGAGGTAGAAAGTAGAAGCAAGACATAAAAAAGCATGACAGAAGTTGAATAGTAGAAAAGTATCAATTCGGGAGGAAAAGAAGGAATAGTCCCTTGGAGGTGGGTTACCCACATGCGCAATAGAGGATGCCTCTGGGGGGCATTGTGCACATGATGTTCCAGCTCAGAAGCCTGTTTCACATAAGATCAATTTTGTTGTCACACCTGATTAAAACTGCTGTGAGAAACCAGGATCAAAATGGATAAGGAATGCTCGTAATAAAACACATCCAGGCCCCTGGCAGAGGCTTCCCTCAGAAGGCTGTCACGTGCATCAAATTTCAAAGCACAACTTCCTTGCCGCAATATTCATTGCATCATCAGATCTCTGAGTGATCCCATTGTGCTTTACGTTTTGCGGGGGAGCTCCTTGCTTAGATCAACATGTAACACATTGGAATTCCAAAAAAAAAATCATCAGATCTCTGAGTGAGTCTGAGCATCCTCTGACAATGCACATACACCGGGGAAAAAATGGCTGCATTTTACAAGCAATGCTACTTATGTCCAAAACGGCCATACATTTCAGCGGCGTGAGCAACACCACATCTGGTCATGAATTTGCCCAACAGAAGAATGTATTTAAAGCACTCAAGAGTTTTGTTATCTGCAATTAAGCAAACTGGAAAAGAATTGTTCTGAGCCGTTGATGCCCTCACCACTTGAAGCGCCCCCTCCCGCCCAAACATCCGAACGATCTGCCCAAGGGTGTTCTCTCCCACGTCGATCATCATGAAGGCGTCCTGAGCGGACTGCAGCAGGATGCCTGTGCCCGCGCGGTAGGGCGACGGCATGGCGCACCCTGTGCCCAGGAACATCACACGACTCCTGTCGTTGGCCTCCGCCATCTGGCCCAGGATCCTCTCGTGGTGGCTGTCGTCATGCACCCCCCCAGCCTCGGCGTCGGGACCAAATTTGGGCACAGGCCCGGGGCTGGGAATGGCCTCTGCACTGGGGCTGAAAATGGGACCGGAGCCAAAACTGGGACCAAAAACAATACCAGAACCAGGGGCAGAATTACGTCCAAATTTTGGGACGGAGTGAAGGCTAGAAGCATGCCCAGAATTAGGGCCTGCTTTTGGCCCGAAGCTGGGATTAGAAAGAGGATGTTGGCCGGGCTGACGGGATGTTGTGGGCTGGAATGGCCGTCGCTTATGACGTTTGGGGCTCGGCTGGATCGAGCAGTAGCCTGGAGTATCATGAGCGCCAGAAGACTGCTGTGTGTCACTGCCTCTGCCCGACACAATGCCATTCCTGTGCCCACTGCCACCGCATTTTGGAGACTGCAGTTTCCCGGGCGTCTCTTTGCTGTCCTTTGTCAGCGTTCTATCGCAGCCGAATAGCTGTCGCCGCAGGGTGCCAGATGTGTTTGTACTGCCCGATGCATCTCTCGAGCTGCTGGAAGTGTCAGAGAGGACAGTGGGAAGGCATGGCGACCGGCCAGGGGGCAGCGGTGTGGCGCACAAGGATCCGAATTCTGCACACAGGCGCCGCCACGGGTTGAACTCGGGGTACAGGCTGTGTGCTCGGAGCACCTGTGCAACCAGAGATGTTCATGTTAACTTCTCTTTTAACAATTTGTTTGGCCATATTTCAGGTTCAGGTCCAACCATATCATTCAATACATCGTTCACTTCCAGTTGCTGAGCAGGAAGCATCAAATGTTCAAACTGTCATTTCAATAGAGTCTGTTGAAGTCTCACTTCCCTTCCTGCGGTTTGCAGCAATTTGACACTGTTCAACTTGATGACGCCATTTAAGTTCATAGATGGCATGTAAACATCAAGATACAACATTTAGAACAATTGAAACGCAATCAGCGGTTCAGACAGTGTATTCACATAATACAGTAAGACAGCCAGCAGTGCATAACAATTTGCCTTCTGTTTCGACCATTGACGATTTGCATTTCGCTCCGCCCTACTGACAGCCTGCAGCAATTCCACTACTTTGGGAGACTATTTTAGCTTCCTTCAAATTTTCACAATGCACTTTCGTTCTTCTTCTCTGATGCTTTTCCTTCTTCACTGGCTTTTATAAATTCATGTATGCGTGAATCCGCCACACTCTTCCACTCTTTACTGCATTGCACATTTTCCTCGACTGCCTGCACAACAGTGACTGCAACCTATGTCACCCAGTTTGACGCATTGATGAGCCAAAGCATGTAAGGTGTGACTTTGCTGTTCAATGCAGCATGCAGAGAATATTATTTCAGCTCAGTACAGAATGTTTTGCTTCAGTCTAGCTTCTTAAGTTCAGCATATTGTACTTCATTACAACTCTGTCTAGTTCAGCCCAACTCGGAACAACCTGCAGAGCATCTTGCACTGCTGGTGCTGCTTCTGTCGCCTTCACTAGATGCCCTGCCATCCGCCATCACAGCAAAGCAAAGAGATTACTTGTGAAAATAGCAGTGAGATGCAACCTGCAATGTTATTCCTGTTGCTGCTCACCTCATTGTGCGGCACATAGCCCACATACTGTGGAGGATCGTGTGAAACAACACCTTAGTAAAAGACTAACAGCGAGTAATGACCAGAGCTCTGACAGGAAAACCACTGATATTTTACCAGAACGTGCACAAACATTGCTATAATTGGCATGGAGCACATAAATGGATCTTCCAAGACGATTGGAAAGCTGTTAATAATTCTGGGGTGGATACTGCGCTCAGGGTGATTAACAAGATGGAATCACTGCCGTAATTGCACAAAATTGGCAAGATACAAGTCAACACAAGCAAATGTGATCAAAAATTGTCTGCGTGTGCACTTTCTAGGGAGACTCCTAAAAGCACAGCAATTTTGCACGTGGTTTTCAAACGTTGTTTGTGCACCAGATGCGTGGGTTGCATGGGTTATAGTTGAGAGGAAATCCCAAAAGTAGAAAATGGCAAATTTCATGCCAACTCATTGTGTTCCGGCAACATCCACTTAAGAATGAACAAATCAATGCTATCTCCCACTGTAACAGGAAGCCAAAATAGTGGATCCTTCGCATCTACCAAGTTCTTCATATGAACCTGCTGCTTGCAGCGCTTAGCCTTGCCAACAAGCACTACTCCTGAGGGCAGAGTAGGTACAATTTTCTGACTGGTTGCCAGCAGAGAGTATCGACCCACAGCTGACTCCCATTTGCTCCTGCTCATCTCAAAACCTAGTGCGGCATCAGTTCCCTGTGCGGGTCAACGTTTATCACTCAGGGGCGGTCACCGGTGTCCACAACGCATTCTTCCACGAGTATGCGAGTAGGGAGCTTCTGATCCAGATTTCGACTTGACAAATTGCCTAGTTGGAACTCGAGGCACATGCTGACTTCCCATTAATGCTTCGTAACATCACCTTCCCTTGCATCCGCATTCAAAGCCGTAGTGTTTGAGAGTGCGTGCTAGCACTTTTTCGACTCCAAAGGATCCACGCTGACCAAAAGAGCACAATCGTGATAGGGTGCGGAAAACGCTGCAAGTAGACATACAATTAGGAAGGCTTCAACTGCAACTTCCATACACCGATTATCAAGGGGGCCCTGACCGCATTGACAAGGAGGTCTTGTCGCAGCAATTGTTGTTGGGACCCAGGGTATGGTGATCTGAGGAGCCCTAGTTGCATCCTACAATCCTTTGACTCAAGAAACCTCAACATTTGGTACCAAGAACTCAAGAAGGGCGCAAAGGTAGCGCCCACCTCCAAGATGCCAATGTGGTGGATCTCCCAGACACATCTTGAGGACTAATTTCTGCTTGGCTTGGCGTTATAGGCTTGGTGATCTAGTGGATCCATAAAGAGGGAGCTACTTTAGCATGGGGACCACTGGGGTTTCTCTTTGGTCTTTATATTTGACGAATTTAATGCTCGCAGTTGTACATGGCTAGTAAGTGATACTAGTTGAGGGCAATTGTAGTGCAATGGCACCATTTAGGCCCAAGCTATTGAATCAACACGCATCTGCCTTCTGGGATCTATACTTCAATTGTTGCCACAAGACAACCTAGTGAATGCGCTCAAGTGGCTTATCAATGTGTAGGGACGTGATGCTCCAATTGAGGCTGCCCACTTTTATGCCTGCCTGCAGTGTCTTCCAAATACAACCAATGTTGTGCCCTTTAGTCAGTGCAGACTTGTTGGAGTAGGAGTGCTTGTAGCTGCTCCAACACCAAAACTGTGAGTGTGGATATGCGGGAAGAGGACATTGCAAAACGTCATTGGAAAGCCAGGATGCATAAAAGACTCCAAGCATTCCGTCATATTAAAAACCCATGATAAAGGTAGGCGCCCACTTCATGAGTTCCTCGAAGAATCCATTGATGACCATTGGCAATTGTGTCAATGCCCAGCCCTGCGTTGAATTCAGGTCAAATTAGGCAACACATTGGCAATGGCCGTTCCACTGAGTTGTTGATCATCGCAAGTAGTAGCAATGGACTAAACAACCAGGCCCACTCGATGCTCTCTAATGGCAGAATCGCCTGAAAACCGTACAACCTGCTCTAGCCGTCACTTGAGGATCTTTGGCTGCGGGAACAAGCGACTGTTCCCGCCACCCAATCTCCTTAAGCGACTGGTTCACTGGAAGATCACTGCAAAAGCAGATATTCGAGAGTCAATAGAAGACTCTAGGTTATGCCAATAAGTTGGTGCGTAGCAAAGCAAGTTAGAGTGGTGGCCAAGTGAGGAGCTCAAATAGTCACCTCGGCTCAGCCCCTCCAAACTCCTGTCACTTCAAAAGGACAGCAAACATTAAAAGGCCAATCTTTCAATGTCTCAACCTTTCACCAGCAGACGCTGCTGGGTGGACAAAAGCTCACAATGTGTGCTGTTTGCTTTTAACAAGTAATGTTCAGGCAAGCCAGGGTCTAAATGAATATTCAGGCAGTTAGCAACTGGTTTATTTTCAGCAATTATTTGCTCAAGCACCACCCAACGTTACTATCAATTTGGGGCAGGCAAAAGCAATATTCTTCTTGCACTCGCAATGTGAGTGTTCTTGGAAGCAAGTAAATAAATTATATGTATTGGTTGCTTGTAACATTCTCCAGTCAGAAAAACACAGACAGCAGTGCACTGCATTCCCACTCAAATATAATCAAGGTAAGACTTTATCAAATTCACTGAAACAGCTACTTGTCCAACTGACTGATTTCGTCATCGGCGTGCGCCCCACCCAAAGGAGTGATGACAGGGCTGCCTGGTATGACGTCGAGCTCCCTTCGATGCAATTGTTCGACCCTGAACAGCAGGCCGCCTTCCAGGGTACTCTTCCGCTGTGTGCCTGCTCAACACACCAAATAATGTACTAGGCACATGCGCCACTGGCTTCAAGTGTAAAGGACAGTGCCCCAAATGGCACGATTTGGTAGAATGCTGGGCAATGGCGCCAGCGCATGTAAGGGTAAAGTACTGGGCGGCTGGCCGGCACTGGGAAAGTACTGGACCCCACCCTGCATGCGCATGGAAGGCCAGAACACAAGCGCCCATATTCAGGACGACCAACGAATATGGCAGCATTTTACTGGTGAAACACATACCGCACACAACGGAAGTAAACAGGAGCACTGATGCTGAAACAACACATGCTTGCGGGCAGGAAACAACAATGTTGAAAGCAAATGCATGTGTGTGTAAGTGAGAATAAGAGTAACATGAATGTGGTGGGCTGTTTCATCGCAAGTGTCGCTTCAGGACGCGCTCCGTTTGTGGGCCAGTGCTGGCAAATATTCCTGGTGAGATAATCGGTGTCACATAAAATGTGCACTGCCACTCTCGCTATCAATATTATGAACTGTTCCTGGCATGATTCAATACAACTCAACAATTGAATACCTGCTACAACATAAACATATTACTGTGCCAATCAGTAACTGTGATACAATGGTCAACTGTGCCATCAGCGGAATGTGCAACAAAACCACTGGTGACAATCCAGCATTTTGCCAAATGAATACTGTACAGTACAACTATAGCTAAACAAAAGACAGTTTGCCAGTGAAAGTACATGCACGTCCCCACGCACCCTTCTGTACTTCCACGTCCATGGGCTCTTTTCTGACCTTAGAGGGCAGCGGGAAGAGGAGGGGCGACACGGCATGCAACCTCCCCGTCAGCTCCAGAGCCTTCTGATGACCATACTCTTCGGCCGAGCCTGGGACAGCACATTTGTATTCATCTACTGCATTCGTGCCTTACTGTTGAGGCACATGCATTTTTCCAACACAGCGCAACACACCTGTCAGTACTGTTAAAGTGCTCAATTTGTTGCCAGCGCCTATAGCTCAATATCAGTTTGCCATTTTACACATTTGCACGCCTAAATGCAAGAGTGGCAAATGTGTCACCACATGTGGTGAAGCATTGTCAAACTTACCACGATGCGAACTACCATAGCAACAATCGCGCCCTCACCTTCCAATGACCGCCTGATCGAATGCCCGAACTGTGGTTCCTCCAGTGCCGCTGTATGATACACACAGGCACAGCCGAGAGACTCAGCAGCATTCCCTGAGGGAACTTCCCTGCCGATGCATGGCCCGGAAAGCGCAGCTGAAAGAATGGCAATTCGTACCACTTAATACCGTGCACAAATCCAGCGTGACTAGCTGAGAATTGGGCATTAATTGCATCATAAAACGCGCCAAAAATGAACAAAACCATGCTAAGCGAGTCAGATCATTGGGCGATGCCCAAATGGTGTGTTAAACACATTGCGTGCTCTGTTTCATTAATTACCAGTGGTTCCTCTGGCTTTGACATATTGTACGCCATAGATATGGCACCTCCAGCCGCTTTGCAGAGACTGAAATTGCAAGGGATGGAAGCTCCGCCGCTGGCGATTGCTGATAAGCAGGTAATGCACATGCTGCTGACAATAGGTGGCGGAATCGCGGGACGCAGAGAAAGGAGGGAGGCAGCATGGCATTGCCTGGTGCGTACAAGCAGGGCATTTACAACGACTCGGGAAGCATCATTAGGGCACATTGTGAGAACCAAGGGGGCGAAACGACTTGCTGGAAATGCCATGGGTATGTAGGTAGTTATCGGCTGCTGCCTTCCTTTAGCAAGACATATAAAAGAACTGGGAGTTGGCGTGTGGGGGTTCCAGTCAGATGGAAACGGAGTACAACGCCTAATAACGTTTTATCACCTCGTCCTGGTAAATCTCTCAACAGATTTACCATCTCAAAGTCCATCCACCAAATTGTACTAGTTCTGACCATCTGAAGCAGAGTGCGTGCGTGTGTGTGGAGGGGTGGGTAAGGTGGGGGGGCTCATTGAGTAAGTGACTTGAGAGCAGTGTCGACACCAGCCGTAGACAGGCACATCGTTCACCAGAGGCTAACATTTGAGCACAGTACATGGCCAATCTTTCCAGCCCCATACCATCGGCTACCAGTCCAACTCTGACAGATGGATCGAGAGGGGTATTGGAGGCACAGAGATAAAGCAAACATGGGCCTATTGCACAAATTGGTACGCAGCTCAGGCTGTAGGAAACCATGATCGAGTCCTCATCGATTCCACACACCGCAACACGATGAAGCACTGCACCTGCACCTAACAGCCGGTGTCCACCAGTGAAACATTCCACCAGAGTCATGCTCAAGATTACCCATTCGCTTCTTCCATGCAGAAACGATTTCACTGCAAATCAAACAATCAAAAACCAGCAAACGAATTTGTTTCACACACATGATGTGCGCCAGCCCACCTGTTGCTTCCCGCTTCATAAAGATCTGTTTCCCTGGCAGGCATCGAGCCCATTTCTGGTATGCGGGCTGGCCCAGCAGGGATTCACTGGAGATATGGAAGATGGCTGACACCCGGCTTCTGCTAGCCTTGAGCCCTTTGAACACTGGGTGGGCTTCAAGGTCCTGCTTGGAGTCTAAATCTGGCAACCGAATAATCGCCAACAGCTGTTCTGTTGCCTTAAACTGAATAACGTACGCGAGCACTGGCTCCACCTCCTCAGCTGGCGATGGAGCACAGATTGAACACACAATCCGGAGTTAGCATTGGCTATCAATTGGTCATGAATAGTTACCAGTCTTTGGGTATCATGATGTACTGTGGCTGTGTTGATTTTGACCCTGCCAGCATCAACCAATGATAGCTGGTCTTCAGCCCTGTCATGCTACTATCCTGAACATGACGTCCCTGTTGCACTGTCTGCTGTACTAAGCAAGACAGCAGATGGCTGCTGAATAATGCCACCACAACAACATTTAAAGGTAACATAATTCGGTTCATCTTTAAAATGGTTCACATAACTTCCGCACGCTAATCAGCAAATTAGCAAGGTAGTCATGCTGATATATGTATCCGTGGAACTATATCTGGCATAACATCCAGTGCTGCCCACATGCTTGCATTCATTTATGGATGCCATCAATACAATTGATACCATACATCCATGTTTACCATCTGCTGTTGTGTTCCTCCTAAGACCCCCACCCCACACAACCTCACTCCATGCGATCCTTGGTTGCCCTTACAGAGGCATGCGCTTCCACTGAGTACGCTCTTGACACATGTGATGCATGCACTTGCTATTCACATAATGTATGTGCATGTGCAATACCTTCAACTGGGGATTCGACTCCAACTTTGACTCAGTGCCTTTCTGTCTTCTGTGCTTTGCACAAACACAGCTAAAATCCAAATCACCAAGGGTGTGGCCAGTGTCCTAGTCGTACTGTACCGTTGGGCCATCTCATGCATGCAAACTCAAAACACTATGCAACACATGAGTGCAACATATATCATGCATGTCAGCTCAAGCACTATGAGACATGTGAATTTACCAAGTTGTGATATAATGCTGGAAGAGGCAAACCACTTTGTATTCGGTCAGCTCTTCTTGTTGAGCATGCATTCATTCATTCACCTGTTGACCATTGATCATGCCCTGCATACAATATTTCGCACTTCATTGCTTTCAATGCAAGCATTACAACAAAACCAACTGAAAACCCTTTCACCTGCTGACAAGCTTAGAGCCTCTTTTCTGGCGGCATTCTTTCCATCCTTGGGCCCAACAGCCCCTTGTGCGAATGGCTGGCTTGGCAGACAACTTGCACCGACGCCCGTTGGCAGGCCCCATGGGCCCTGATAGGACCCATTGGGGCTCCACAGGGATTGTGTCCCAGAGCCGGCCTGGCAAGGACCGCTTTGAGCACTCGATCGCTGGCTGCCCCTCCCTGCACCCTCTGGCCCATCATCCAACTTTATTCTCTTCACTCCACGTGCTATGCCACCTTGCACAAGGTCGCTACCACGTTGAGGTAATGGTATGTAGTCTTCTTCCCCTGTCGAGGTGCTGGGAGTGATCAAACTGATAACATCAGGGTTCTGGATAGCCTTGCAGCACACCCCAGCAGCCTCCACTCCAGGACAGCCAACATCAGTATCTGGGTGCCCAGGCAGTGTGCGGGCGCGGGACCCCTTGAGTTGGTTGCGGCTGGGCCCAACGGCTGTGACCATACCCTCCTGAGGGGTTGATGCTGAGGGAGGGCAAGTTAGCCTGATTGGGTGCCCAGCAGCAGGCTCTGTGGTTTGAGCCCCGCTATCTTCATCGTCGCTGGTGAGCAGATCGATCATTGAGCCCACTGGAGGCAGCTCCTCATCAGTCAGGCAGTCTATGCTCTGCCTGTCCACATATTTCAATTTACCAACCAATCAATCAGTCAGTCAAACAGTCAAACAATCATCCCATCAACCAAGAAATCATTAGGAGAACAAAAGACACATTTCCAAACACATGCAGCCATCAACATTACTCTGAAACATCAAGAGGTGGCATTATCTGTAGTTTGTGCCAGGAACATCACATCTTGCAGCTGCCCAGGAAATTTAGCACCGGTGAGGGATTGATTGTTGTGTTGATCTTGCATAATAATAGGGAAATTGAAGATCGGACCTAGACTTTAGGACTGAAAGTAGCAGAAATAACGCCCTTGCCTGTCTGCATCATCGTCACTCTCATCTACGTCTATCACAATGACGTCCTGCTTGCCTTCATCCACCTCCACATCCACCAGCTCCTCTTCCTCATCGCCCACCAAATCTATCACCTGTTAACATCGGCAACAAGTGAACAAATGGAAATATATCCAGCATCCCCTCAAAGTGCAGGGGCCAGCTTTGCAACATTCGAGAAAGGCGATGAGTGAATGCACAATATTGGTAAAATTTGGACAACAACAATGCACAGGCACACAATGCCCCACAGCGATTTCGTTGCATGCAACTGGACCAATTTTTGCAAGTTGTCCAGCTCCTATCAAGCAGAGTTCCAATCCATCAGCTGCAAATTCAAGCAACACAGCTCGTACCCCAATGACGCAATTGGATCTCAGTTAGAGAATCAAACGTTTTATTGGATGCTGGCTTTTGATCTGCTGGATCTGCATTTGTCCAAAGAAACAAAAATGCTATGTGTTACTGGGCGACTGTGTTGTTCCACACAGAATGTGAGTAGTGGGCAGCGTCATGGACAGATTGAGGTACACTGCAAATCTCAAATGGGTACAACTGCACAGCACGTTTCAATACACCATACTGCAAATGCCAGCCCATTTCAGCACAACAATTCTGGGCAACAGTCCAGTTCAACTGAGCCCCTTATTTGCTACTCCGAAGTATTGCAGCACAGGCAAGAACCAGATGGTGGGGCCCAATGGAAGAGATGTTGGCCTTGTATCCCTCACAAGAAAGTTGAAGCCGATGCAAATCCCCTAAAATGGATCGCGCACAAGGGAATGCACAAACCCAATGCAGAAACAATTGTACCACCTGCTTCCCCTTGAATGGGCTCCATCCAATGGAAGAGATGTTGGCCTTGCAGCCCTCACAAGAAAGTTCAGGCCGATGCAAACCCCCAAAACTGATGGCGCAAAAGGACTGCACAACCCAAAAGCAGAAACAATTATACCACCTGCTTCCCCTTGCATGGGTTCCGAATCCAACACGGACAAGCACCCAACCAGCTGGGGACCGTGGACCTCTCCCAGTTCTTCATGGCAGCTGCGACATCGATGAAATCGTCTCGATAAACCACGCCCTGGCTCTTCTTCGTCAGAGGGCAGCAAGAAGGCATCATGGGCGCCTTGAAGTAGGACAACATCTTGAAGCCCTCCAAAACGTCACTGATGCCTGCACCCCGAGACAGCAGCACCTGAACTTTAAATGTGAAGTGGTATTTGGGCATAGATCTGCCAACTCTACAGACGATGCGAGCGATGCAGAGGCCCAAGACAGATTGGCCTCATCAAGTGCAATCGCAAAGTACTGTGTGTACGCAACACTGCTTATTCCACTACTGCACTGGACATTGTCCAGAGGACAAGTACAGGGCAGTAGCCAATCTATGTACATCCATATCAGAATCGATGTCTCAACGATTCACGGTCCTGACCCCATCAACAAACACTCCCAACCCCGTCCCACCCTCCCAAAATATCAAACATACAACCAACGCCACAACTACCTCCAAAAGCACACAAGCTGGTTAACTGAATGCTTCAATTGTTTACAGATACTGAAGGCAAATAAGTATATACTAGGGTACACTCAAAGACAGTTGTCCCATGGTGCCAGGGCCCACCTTTGGGGCCAACAAAAAGAATTTTTGTAGCACCAACATCACGGAGCCGATATAGCAGTCCACCCAAGCCACCCTGGGAAACAAATGCATTGCAAAAACCATTGTCAGTGCTTTAGCTGTCAGCGGCTGCCAACTGGCTCTACTACACGTGCTTGAGTTGTACCCATAGCTTCTGCTGTCAAACAGGCATTGGGCCATTTGCCAAGCTGTTGCCAACATTGCTGCTATGGACAACAGATACTTAATACATAATCTGTTGTGCTTTCGACCTTCCAGGGGTGCTCAGTGCCTGTTCCACATGCATTGCCAGGCCTGCAAGGGTCCAATCATCTGGACTCCCAAATCTGCAGCAACAATTTAATATACACAAGTGGGAAAGCTTGTTTTGGCAGCGTGTTTCCGTGCTTTCCCACTGCCTCTTGATGCAGCTTGCATTTCGGCCCCTTTTCTGGTTTTGCGATCCCCTTTTTGGGTGTTTATTGGCCTTTTCTCCCAAACATCATCAGCAATCCGTTCTGGGGGCATGTTCAAACCTGTTTTCCATAAAGCCAGTGTCTTCAGTCCAGCTCCATTGATTACTTATCACAACATAACAGAGACCATTCATCAAGCTGATGATATCACGCAAGCCTCTCTAGTGCTGGTAGCCCCGTTGTCCAAACCAACTTGAATAGACAGCAACCACAATCTTTCAGCAGTCTGGTTTTCGAACGTAGCATAAGCTGGGTAGTAAATTAGCTGGGGAAATCAAGAAGAAAACCAGACAAGCAGTTGCATGGGCGTTAGGTGCCATCTGTCGGAGGTGTGAATAAGGAGCACCTAACAGCAAACAAATGGGTAGCCAACGCCCTAAACAGCCTGGGCTAAGGGGGTCCAAAGAAAGGACTTTTGCAAGCTGGGACGAACAAACTGTCAGCACCCAAACATCAGGCTGAAAATGCAAGCTTTTGGGTTGAAAACACATAGAAATGCAGACCATTGACACATGAACCAAAAAGGTGTCCATGAGGATGGCCACATCCAAGGGTGTGCACACTTTTACAAGTTTATATCAAGGAATAGCCAATGATAGCACCAACGCACAAACTGCTGAACCACTGGTGACATCCTACTGAGAGTGATACGAAAATGTACAACAGAGGACAACAGTACCCGAAAACGACTGCCAATAATCAAATGCCCTGGTGTGGAAAGAGCTTAAGGCAAGTTCTACTCATACAAGGAGACTATCAGGTTATGGAAAGGCAGGAAATGTCATCTGTCTGCTGGAAGCAGGACAACAATGGTGCCTGTCTGACTCATCCGAATCAGTTGAGATTGCAACTGGATGCAGTTGGGTGTGCCAAGGGAACAGCAATACACTTTGTCGTTTCACAGACAACTGGGAATGTACTTCCAGAGGTACATTGTACAGAATGGAATTTTGTTGTCCACCCTTATGTCAGCCTATACATCGAAGTCAAGTGTTCAGCAGCCATTAGACTTGTATCAGTCCTCAGCTGATAAGCTATGTATGCATGCACTACTGCTGACACTATCCATGCTTCTCAAGCATGGAAAATGTTGATGTACAAGTTGATGCAAAAGAAGCTGGCATAACAGAAATAGATGTAACAGTTGGTGCATTTGTCACCAAAAGTACACTGTAACCATTCTTCTTGTTTAAGTTTTTCTTGTTGGGGGCCAATGCTGCTTGAGTGGCAACTGCAAACCGGCGACATTTAGTCTTTGTGTGCAATGCACACAACAGTTGAACACAACACACCTGCAATGGCTACATAAGATTTAACAAGTCGACAATTGATTATTGCAATCAATAGCAATGTGCATTGGATCAGCCGTCAGCCCTTCCCTGCCAGCAGGTGCCCAGACTCATATCTCAGACAGCCAATTCCACAATAATCGCAATGATTAATGTACATTGTTAATAATAAGGACTGGGTTTAGGTGTTGGAAAGATAAACGCACCACACTGGCAGGGCTGTGATCAAAGGTGAAGAATATGCTGCAGCTGTTGTCCACCTTCACCCCATGTTCCATCGCCAGGCGACTAAAGCCCTCTGCAATATTGAAGTGGTACTGACAAGCAACGAAACAGTGATTCAGGTGTGCATGCAATGACACAGAAATACAATACATTTATATGAAATGGAGACGATAAGGATACAAGAGCAAAGGGTGAACTGTGTATTGTGTGAAAAAAGAAACAGTGGGAAATGAACAGGGGTACTCATGCTTAGTTGCAATCAACTATTGCTATATACCTTCGATTTACAGCTGGGGGTGGGGATTTTGCCGATCACTGTGAGATCAGTGTAGACAACTAGCAAGGAGATGGTATCTGACTACCTGAGTCGAGCAGAGACGAATGACAGGAACAATGTGTCGAATTCTCCAGTTGCCTGTAAGGATGTTCATTCATTCGAATTATAGCTTTTCTTTGACTGCCTCTTAGCTGTGTGTGGGCAGTGTGCTTTGCCAATGGGATGGGCACACAAGTGAGCCAGCCCACTGCCTTCAGTACCTGCAAGGTGCAAGGGGTTTGATTGGTGCCATGAAGGCCAAGACATAAGTAAAGATGTTGATTGATATTGGCATGTTACTGAGGTGGCAGCAGGCAAGCAATAAGCCATAGATTAGACTACTGCTGAATCGATGACTCTAATTTGCCAAAGTCCCTACTAATGTCCACAGCTGAAGCGAATTACAGTGGTGAAAGTTGACAGCTGTTACAGAAATAGGAGCGCATGCTGTCCAATATTGTTCCAGCATCGGCAACATATTGTGCATTTTCTCATTCTTGTTTACAAGAGCTGATGCCAAGGTCTCTAGGGTGCATCAGATCCTGATGATCAGGGACAACATGCTTGTGCCTCACCTGGGACAGAGGAGGCACTCGGCCAAAAGACAAAAGTTCAGGATTTTGAAGGGAAGCAAGGGACACTCTGGCAGTTTCTTGCTGAAAAGACAGCCAGGCAATAAATTGATTTGCTATCAGATCAGTAGATGCCACTGTGAATGTCGTGCTCTGTATTCTATGCCTGTCTCCTGCACTGTGAGACTTTTGCCACCTTTTATCCTCATCTTCATTGCATGGTAAGAGTCTTGCAGTTTCTTGGTTGTGAGGGAGATGGGAAAGCCCATTGCCGAACAGTTTTCCTTCTAGACAAGAGGATATTTACCAGTTCCTAATCCATCCTAAGCATTAGCAACTTTCGTTGCATCCATTGATGATGCTGGCACATGTGCTCACCTTTTTCAGTGGCGTGGTCAGCAAAATGGTGGGCGCAATACCGTCCGAGTCCGCCACCACCACCTCAGCACAGAAGACGAAATTTGATCGATACATGCTCTGAAGGAACCCAATGATGACCAGGGCGGTGCTTACCGTCCCCCTTTTTCAAGCTCTGACATGCATTCAGAACCCCTCTTCTTCACTTGCCATTTTGAACATCAGTGTCCGATCTCAGGGTGGTGGTGGTGGCAGTGGGTTGCTTCCTCTTCCCTCCCTTTGGTGGCAATCAAAGGGCCACCTCCCTTCCCCTCTCTTTCCCAAACATGGAGTAGTGCCCCTTCTTCACTTTCCTCTCCTTGCGAACACCAGGCCGCAAACAAGGCTGTACCGCCTTCCCTCCAGTATTTGGACACCAGATTCCAATCACGGCGGTGTGAGGGCGCTTGCTTTCTTTGCTTTGTTGGGGCGTAACGCCCCGTATGCGATCATGACTCTGTTGGGATGAAGTCAATGGCCCTGACAAGGACAGCCAAGCAGCATGCCCATGGGCAATGCCTGACCTGAATCGCAAGTAAATCCTCGGTTGTGACATTCTGGAGAAACCATGGCAAAGCAGCACCCTACCACATCGGGCGATGTTGGGCGCAGGGCACAGAAACAATATTAGGTCTTGCCAAGTGTTGTTTCCTGTTCCGCTGCGGACGGCCTGAAGCGCTGCTGGTGGGCAAGCGCGAAACAAGAGAGCCGCGCAGTTCGATTCATCAGAACAGGGTTGGGAAATTTCGCAGAGTTCGAACATCAGCGAAGATGCTCACTGCCGCGTCGTCATCGCCGGTCAATAACCATTCAGCACTTGGCTGACCGAACGCACAATTCGCCAGACGGGCAAACAGCGCGAAGAGCTCAACCGACGTTCCCTGCAGTCTGCATGCAGCAGCAGATGTCAAGCCACCCCTCGCACAATGGATGCACCACCGCGCCAAACAGAACAGCGCGGTGGAAGCCTGCAGTTCCCACCGCCCGGGGCGAGATCCACACCAGGCATTTCCAGCCGACCTCTCTCATCCCCGCGGCAGCTGGCCCGCGCTTCAGAAAAACTGCCGGGCAGCGAGGTTTGGCCACAAGCAGGCCCCCAAGGCGCCGAAAACATCGATCCAATGCACCCGGGACGCAGCCCGCTGGGATTTGCGGACCTGTGATCCGGGCTCAGAGCTGCGCCACCAGGCGTTTGATTCGGCGCCGCCGCGGCGCTCAGAGCAAAGGGAAGGCCGAGCAGCGGCTGGGGGCGGCCATGGGCGGGGTGGCAAGTGCTTGAGACAGAAACAGACACCCTTTTGCGTCGCGAATCCATTCGTGCCCGGCGGCCATGCCATACCTCCGCTGTGGGGCATGAACGAATGTGGCAGTCACAATCGGCAATCCAATCTGCATTGGCGCCAGAGCGCTGCTAGACTACTACGTGCCGGTCACAATCGGCAACGAAATCTGGACTGTACACCAGTGCAACCTCAGGTTCCGGATTGGATCATGTCGGAGGCAGGCATGGCCACGGGCGGGAGACACAGCCGAGGGACCAGAGTTGCGGAGGGATCACCGACAGGCATGTTCATGCAAACCCAGCAAATTACCTGTCAAATCACGGACCAGTAGCTGCCATACTATTGTCAACGCGTGAGCATCCAAACTTGTGCGACGTCGTCAATTTCAGCATCCGACCATTTTGTTGGACCGTGCGTCCGTTGCATGTTCCTTGGGGCATGTGCGCGTCGGCAAAGGGGCATCTGCATGCGAACGAACCTCCGTTGCTGTGGTAGGCAGCATTCACGTCATTCCATTCCTTCCGCAGGTTTGATGCCCTGCCGAAGTTCAAAGGGAGGGGTCAAGCTCCTAATACTAGGAAACTACGCGCTCGCCTCCCAAACGGCATAAAGACAAACACTCAACTCCTTGCAAAATGGTTTTCGGCGTTTAAACGCAGAGACAAAGTCTAGTACCCGGTGCTCGATTTCAGCTGCGCGGATTTCGGGGGCGCGATGTAGGACACAGTGATATTGTCCCACACCGCAAGATCAGAACGGATTGCCAGAACCAAGTTTCGAAGCTCGCGGCTTTCAGGCGCGCCAAGAGTCACAAGGTGAAGCTGCTGGTTCCTCTGAGCGTGGGGTGGGTCGGGGCATTTTTGGAGCGGGCTGCAGAGTCCACACTCAACCGCCGATGCAAAACATAGATGAAGAACTCCTTTCCAGGCCCCGTCCGGCCGGACACAGTGCTTCGTGACAAGTTGTTAAAACTGCCGTTAGTCATGAGCACCGGCACATCGTAAGCGGGCTCATGACAGACATAGGGCAGCTGACTGGGCCAATGTTAAACAGCCAGTCAGGGTGAACAAGAAAGAAAAAAGGAAGCCAGCAAAGAAAAAATAGATACGCGTTCACAAAAAGAACAAGGGAGAGCCACTATGCAACCGGCATATCAAGAAAATATCAAAGGCTTGCTGTATCATTACAGTTTATTATGCTTAACGTGCTGCCTGGACAATGTTTGTAGGGAGAAGACCAAGGAAGCAAGGTCAGTCACAACCCCTCAGTGGCTGATCTGGGCATGATGAAGAACACTGATGCCACCTGATTGGGGCGTGATGGATCATAAATAGGATCGCTGGAAGTTTCGGGGAAAGCGGTGAATAGTTGCTTGAGAAAGGCAGCGTCAGGAAACTGAATTGGGTGGACACAAGCTATCTTAAGTTCTCAGAAGGTCCGAGGGTTTGAACTTCACGATCGTTTGATGTTGTGCATTGTAACTGTAGTCTGCCTAAGGATTTGGCCAAAGAAGGATAACTGGCTGTGTGCGTGAATGGGCCGCCTTGAGGCGTTCAGCCCAGGGATATCAACAGGACACATGGGCAAAAACTGGATAAAGAGAGTTGCCCTGTGAGCATGCCATTAATCGGCTGTGAAACAGTTAAAGGGATTCTGCCGCTTATAAACTAACATAACTGAAAAAGGCGTTTACCAAAACTTGATGATAGCCCCGGCTAGCTTCCACACTAATAGTAGGTCGTTACGGTTGAAGAAAAGAAAGGGGGTACAGATAGTACATGACGATATAACCAAAGATGAGCAGGATCATCAGGGATAGCTCAGACAAGTCCCTCACTCCCTGAAGTAGACGTAGGACAATGTCAATACGATGAACAGGAACATATTACAGCAAAGGGAAAGGCCTTGACGGAATGTGATGTGTAGTTTGTTAAAACGAGATTTCGACTGCCTGGAATAGCTCGCCTTGACGGTGACGTGTTGCTGGGATTGGGTGCAAAGTTGCTGAGCCATGGGCACCCCAAGAATAGACCTGACGCTGTCTTATGATATGACTTCAGCGCTATGGCAAGTGGCCGTAGGTTGCCCATGCCCGTCATGGGCCAGGCTTGGCCTGAACATAGCATTAGGTCGCTCACATGACAGCCTGACGGGCTGTCATGTGTGACTATGCCCACGCCACCCTTCACGTCACACCCTTGAGTGGAGTGCACGCCACTCATGTCAACCTAATACGGACGGATGCACGGGTACCATCCCGTACCTTGGGTGCGCTCCCACAGCTGCCGCAATGTGTCATGTGTCATAGCTGCATTCGATGTCGTACGACAACCTTGGACTCCGAGCTGTGGGGCGCCTCTGAGGCGTACGCACGATGGTGGCGACTTGCAGCGATGGACTTGAACGTGGCTGCGATAGCGCGGCTGCCAAGGCGCTAGGACGATGACGATGGCGAAGTCGAAGTGGCCTGGCGGTGCTGCTCGCATGGCTGCGATTCGTCGCGCCATGCATGGACTTTGCATGCCCAGGTGGACCTGCGATGGCCCCAAGGGATGTTGGAGTCTATGGCCTGACAGAAGGTCAGGTGCGGTGCTGGATTTGAAGGCCTGCTCTGCGATGGAGGGCGCAATCGAAGCGCTGGCGCCAATTGCAAGAGCATGGGGAAGCAGGCGAGGGCGGAGTCAAGTGATCGTAGGCAGCAGAAAGCTTGGAGCGCGCACGATCGGACGGCAGATGGTGAGGCCAGAATGTCGGGATGAAGGCGCTGGAGCCGAGGGCGCGGCTGGAGTCGGCGCGGAGCAGGCGGAGGTGGCGACGGTCGCTGGAGAGGCGCAGAGAGGCTACGTCGTGATTGAGGACAGCGCCAACGAGGCGGATTTACTGGTGTACGACGACATGGAGACCGACATGGACCTCAGCGTCGATGCAGAAGGGTTTGTAGAGAACGGAGGGGATGACTGGGCTGTCATACCCCGGCTGGCCTGAGGCAGTACGGTGCATGATAAAGTGGGAATCGCTGGTTGAGCGATAAGTGGGTATTGATGACTAACTACTGAATGTTTGGTCCAATGTTTTGATAAGCAAGGTAATCATAACTCTGAGTGTTGAATCAGAAGGGGTATGATGTGTCAATTCGGTTGATAGTGCTGGGAGAAGGATGAATGGGCATACTAAGAGGAATATTGATTTGACCCTTACGGTATGAGGGGGACATGAATGGATTCTGGGGGATGATTGGTGAAGTTAGGGGCGGTGATCAGTGCCTGATCGGGTTTGAGCGGGAAGTTGACTAGACAGGGAAGGGATGATCCGGGAAGCTGGTTGGGGATGATCGGAATCTTTGGGGGAATATTCTGGGGGCTCTTGGGCGTGGGGACAGTGGCTGTGGGGTATAAATAGAGGGGTGGGAACCCCTTTGGACAAGCGAGTTTGAACCGACCAGCTCCTGAGCCAATAGGCAAAGGAACCTGGGAACGGAACCTGAATTAATAATTGTAATACAGGTCGTGATTCGTGGAGAATCACACTGTAATTTAATTTTGGATTCTGTACATTTCTTGTCTAACTAAAGGGAATACAAGCTAAACTACAGCCCGGTCTATTGGGAAAACCTGCGGGGCCCCAAACCGGCTGTATATTGCGCTAATTTCCCTTGGTTTGGATTTACTGGGGAAGCCTACGGGGTCCCAGATCCAGCCCAGTACTATGTGGGGAAGCCTTCGGGGCTCCCACTAAAGTACTGTAGTAAAGATTAAAGTACAGAGTCCAAGAAGATATATACCTACTATAACAGCTCAGAGATCAGTCAGTGACAGCGACTGGAGGTGGTAATTCGCCATACTACAGGCTGGTCAGCGTTTGATTGAACATAAAGGGAAAGAAGGTAAGTAGTAAGGGTAAGGAAAAGTTGAGTTGATTCCGCGCTTGGTCAGGGTCAGCCAGCAGCTGACAAAGTACTGCCTCAGTAAGGTCCAGTACTGGAGAGGGGTAGAGATTGGAAGTAGCGCGAATTTATTACAAGATTGGAAACATACAAACCTCGCTCATTTTCCTCTAAATGCTGTCCAATGAAAAATTCTAAGGCATGAGTCAAACTGAGGAGAGCCCCAAAGAACTAAACCAGGAAATCGGAGTTCAAACTCCTGTGGTAAAAGTTGTGCCATCCCGGTGCCCCCCAGCTCCTGTGAAGGTTGACCTGTATAAAGACACACAGGAGACTCAGAGGCCATCTTTGACAGAAGGTCAAGCTTGTCAGCTGCGAAAAAGCTGGAACGAGCTGTCAGAGAAAGTCTTTGAAAATTAACTCACACAGAGTCTTAATACTTTCGTCCTAAACTAGAGAAAAGCTGGACGTTAAAGTGTACGCTGATGATGTACTAGTGTCGTTAGGCAGTGCGCATAATCATTCACTGTCATTTATGCGCGGTGAGGGCTTACAGCTGGCTGGTATAGCCAGAGAAATAGCCCGCATTAAGGGACAACTCAGTTTTCTGTGGAACTCTGAGCGCATACGGCGTAGTCAAGTCAGGCAGGATAGAAACAACGTACCAATCACATCGCAGCCGGTGACAGGCGTGATTGCCGGCCCAAGTATTAGTCCAGTTTGCTTTCAGCTGACCTGTGTTTTTGCAGCTGGAATAGTAGTGGGTTGTTGTGTGTCTCTGGGATCCCTTTGTTTGGGGATCTGGATTGGGCACATTCTCTAGGAAGTGTAAACGTGGCCGTGACTCACCAGCCGCACTAGGCAGTCACACGTAATGGCCATTCAACAAAGTCTCGCTGGGGGCACTCTCAAGGCTGGTTTGGCATTCGTCTTGGGACTCTTCAGTCCATTGGGCACCTTGGCCGCTATGCACCCAGCCCACAACATACCGTGTACTTTTCGCACACGCCGTGTATATGCTTATGTTGTGTTGAGCTGTTGGATTGTGCGTTCGTTGGGAGAATCGCATTCTGAGCGCCTGCTCTCGTTTTCTGGTCTCAACACCAAATTCTGTTCGGATGGAAGCAGGGGGCTGCACACCAACATCATTGTGGTTTCTAGTATGCTGTCATCTACAGATGACTCATCCAACAATATACTCCTATACGCAGGCATGTTGTACAAGTGTAGGCCTACATTGTTCTGGTGATGAGTGTGATGCATCCAACTGCGAGGTAAAGACGGCATCGACAATGCCGAGTGCTCCACATGATGTGCAAATACAGAGCACCCTGCCATCCAATCAGCACAGAGGTGCCAGCGGTGGCTCATTCGCCCAGCATGCCGTTGCGGGCACACAGCTGGGGATGGAGGCGCACAAGGCCGAGCACTCAACGCACACATCATGTTGCTCTCCTCCCGTCCCAGGGACTCCCCACTCCCCTCACCCCCTTGCCACGGGAGGCAGCAAGTCAATAATCGTGCAAACTCGACGTTCATCGTAGTGCTTTGGAATAGGACATCGTACACTGCATTACATCGTAATACTCTGGAATAGAACATGGTACAATCCAGCCAACCTCGCTGCCGAGCCAATCTCCCCTCACGCACGCCTGCACAGCCCACCCTCTCCCAACCCCAACTTCCAATCTCTAATCTGCTGTCCGCTTTGTGGCATTATTGCCAACTGCAGCCTTCAGATGAACCCTGCAGCCTGTTTGCATGCAAGCCCGCCTGCACCCAGCCTGCACTCCTCCAATAGCTCGACGCTAGCTTGCCAGCCAGTCTTCATACCACCCAGTGACGACCATTCTGGTATAACCAGGAAGGCTTGAAAGGAACCGCAGATCCACTGCATCAGCAGCAAAACTGTGGCGCATTAGCGATAAACAACAGTACTTTAACGCACTCTTGCAGTCCGCAAGCATCCAGAAACTGCTTCGACAGTGCGAGCAGCTGTGCATAGGCCCCTTAGTTCCGCTCCTGTATGAGAAGGAGCCAAACGCCGGCCAGTCGCGCAATAGCAACAATTATTGGTGTGTGCGTGGGCTGGCTGCCGCACGCCAACAGAGCAAGGCAGCCCCTTAGTTGCGAGGCAAATCATCCACATGTTTTAATAAAAAGATTAACACAAAGTCATCCATTTCGCCTTCTTCCATTTCCACGCCCAGTTCATTCAAGCAACTACCACCCCAACCCCGCACCATTTTACACCGCACTACTGCCGCCCCGCCTGCCTGTTCCATCACAACCTCTGCTGCCATCCGCATTCTCGTCCAGCCCCCTATTAAGCACGAGGACTTTTCCACCCATACCAAAAGTTCGGCATCATAATGTGCACATTTGAAATCCAACCCATATGGGCCAGAAGCTCGTCGACCATCATTTCAAAGTACGATCGCGCCTTCAGAGTTTGCAGCGTTCGATATTCAAGTTCGCGAGTCTGGCCTTCCAAAAACACGAGTGTGTCATCTCAACACTCCAGACCGAACCGCTCCCGGTTCGCAAAATTTTCACGCTCCAAAACACAAATTTCAAATTCAAACCCCAGCACCTCTTGCAACACACTGGCGGCGGCCATCACTTCGCCAATGTGCACCTTCAGCAGCAGCCCACCACCGCCCACAGTAACGTCAAACATCGTTTCAAGGTAAATGCATCCCTCAATATGTGCAAGAGACCGGCAATCCAATCCGCAGGCTCCAAATTTCAAGACAAGACAGCCCGTTTGGCCTGCCGCCAAGCTAAAATGGCGTTGACGCTTCAAAGGGTCTGCACCCATCAAACCACATGGTCCACAACGCTGCGGGCGCTCGAATTTCTGCAACGCTCTGGACGTTTGAATTTCGCAGCACTCTAGGCGTTTCAAAGTCCGAAACAGAAGCCATCTCAACCTAACCAATTCATACCACCTTGCCCACTGCGCGTCCACTTTCCAACCCTTGAGACTGGAATTCAAACCATTCGTTGCCATTGAGATTCAATGCTCAGGCATTGAAGTGTCCTTCATCTTGTTGATCTGCTCCTTCAGAAGCAGGATCTCCTCATCCTTCTTCGCCAACTGCTGCTTCAGGGAGTTCACCACCTCAGTCAGCGTGCCTGGGTCGACGTTGAAATCCAGCGACCCCTCCGACCTGCTGGTGTCCAGCCTCCTGGCAGCTCTGCGCCGTGAAGGCGGCGAACCTGTGATCAAAGGCCCCGAGGCTCCCTGGAAGGCTGAACGCGTGGGAGCGGGGATGGGCATCGAGTGTGAGCTGGCCTTCGACCAGTTCTTTCTGTCGGGCCCCGGGCGTCTGGGAACATCCTCCTCTGGCTCTGCCTCCCCACTGAGGGCTGGCCCTATGCACCTGGGGGAATCACAGATCCTTTTGGTCATTGTTGCATAACATATATCGGGATGCACATGACTCCAAGCAGAGAGCCATGACAAGCCTGTTGTGTTATGCAGTGCGTCTGTACGAATAATTCCTTCGTTCAGTGCCCTGGGCTGCATGACTGTTGTTGCACACAGAGAGCTCTGCATCAGTTTTTGCCGTGTGGACACTGGTCTCGCACAATTCTCATACTAGATGGCACATTCGAAAAGGCTCAAGGGGGGGGGGTCCTTTGATGCACGTCACTGTCAGCGCATGCCCTTCCTGAGCAATGGGCAGAGGGAATCCATCTTTGCTGTGACAGATGACGGACAAGCCGCACAAGACAGGGTGAAAAATACACTATGCTGTATGCACTGCTTAGGAGGGGGTTTGTCTGTCTGCCTTGGTCAGTGTTCCATGCTTTGTGTGTGCAGGAAAAAATAGGACATCCTTGAACAGTCTTCTCCCCCATTACATCCCCAAAGAGGGTTCTTAAACAAGGGTGATGGATGGAATTCTACACATCATGCCGCACTAAACACGTGGGGACAGTGCATAGATGTGATTTGGTAGAAGCGATTAAATGGACCACTTTTCTCTGAACCTTACAGAAAAAGGGCACACAAGGATGTCGACTGCAAGTCACCAAGGCACAATCTCCACAGCTCCACCAACAATATAATGAGCATAGCCATTACCCCTGTGGGTGTTACAGCAGAGAGTCCCAGAATGGAAAGGGAAAGCAACAAGCAGATGCAGGGCGAGCTAGAAAAGGGTGTACAGCAGGAATGTCATTTCCAGCCCAACCTCTACTCAGTGGCACAAAGGCGAGGAGGAAATGGCAATCAGCTGAGGGGTACCATCTTCCTGACTTCCTTGTACGTGCTGGGAATGGGCAAACATTATGGACAGAAAACTGCCAGTTGCCACCCCGCAAGGTTCAAACCTGCAGCAGTTTGTCACATTCCGTACTGAACATCGACTGGATGGGGTCGTTCTCCTTGCACCGACCAGGCAAAATTCATCTGGGAGACCCTGGCCCAAAGGGGCACCTTTTTTATTTCTTGATTGAAATAAGGAATGCAATGAAACACTTGGGGAAAAGCAAATCAACTGATCGAAACTGCTCAAGGGGGAGATTGCTTGTTTGAGATTGGCAATGAACAAATTGAAGAAATCGCACAACGTGCACCTGGGAGACAGGCTGTCTTGCATGCCCAAGTCTGTGGCCTGATCCAAGTCCAGCTCCTCGATTGCCTCCAGTTCAATCTCCTCGTTGCGTATGACCTCCAACACGCTCTGTGTAGAATCCGCACTTGGCTGGCCGATCATTGCATTGTCAATTGTGGCACTCGTGTGTGCCGGCTGCACCTGAGTAGGACACGTTGCAGTTTGACAACTTCAACTTGTGCGCAGCAGGTAAGCTCAGTGGTTTGGACAACCATAGAAATCTGGGTTCTGGTGCAGAGTTGGATCTCAATCTGATCGCATTTGGGACATTCTGTGCACTGGCTTGCATTCAATAGCAAATGGCCTATGTTCAGTAGCAATGCCCTGCACTCAATTGCAGGAAGCAGAAGTGGAATTGAATGCACACGAAAACATCAAATACTCAACATATCCAATGTCCACAGCTTGCCTTCCAGATGACAAGGCTTTGCACACACCTGCGGGGGTGGCTTTGCGGCAAACGCAACCTTCAGGCTGCCATGGCGTGTGCCCAAGCCACGCAGCCGGGACGCGAATGGACTAGTGACCTGTCGGCTGATGGCATTGAGCCGTGACTGGGAGGTGGAGCGCAGCGGCTCCTGCTGCCCAGCACTGGCCACAGAGGACCTGGAAGAACTGGACCAGTTGTGCTGCAGGCATTCCATGGGCACGATCATGCAAGGGCAGGGGGAGCGGTGGTAGAGGGCACTCAGGGGTGGGGGGCCCGAACCTGGTTCAACACCATGACAGGGTTTGTCAGCCTTGCTCTCACACTGGCAGGTAGGGACTCAAGCTGTGCACAGATGGCATGTGGAGACAGAGTGCGGACGTGGAAGTCAGTGAGGTGACATTTCAAAGTTCTACCAGATGTCCTAACATTCTTTGTGCAAAGCCTCTTTATTTCAAATCTTTTCAATATTTAAAGCATTAGAACTGCCTGTAATCTATTGAACAACGGGAGCAGCAATTACTACAAAGGTTGCAGCAGTGCCTGGAATTCCAACTGTGTTGAAATACCAGGAATGAAAGTGACAGCTATGCAGCAGCATGTAGCCATTAACTTCATTGTCACCATTATTGTCAACACCCAACCGCATTGTGCATCAACACCTCAAATGCCACCCAGGCCCACCGCAAAGATGCGATGAAATGCCCACCTATCCCTGAAAGAGACCGCCGAACAAGCCTCTGCTCCCTTGCCATCACCACCAGATCGATTCCCTTGGATTCCACAAAATTGCAAATCATCTTCAAACCACCCTGGGCACAGAGGCACACACACATCAGGGCAGCAATTCGGGGAGCATACACAGGGCCACCTTGGCACACACAAAATTCGGAGTTGGCAATTCCACTCATAATGCTGTGTAATATCTTCGAGTCATCCATATTTCGAAGCACAAATGTGGAGGTGACATTGTGAGCTGTCGATTCCACAGCGAACAATCAAAATCTAAACATGCAGCACAACACATTCGCTTTGAGAAAAATCAATCAGTCCATTGAGATTCTGTTCACATGACATACCACAATTCATGGCTTGACTTTTGCATTGTTCAATAATCCATTCTTCCGCAATGCTATGTTTAACAAAAACAGCAAAAGGATGGAAAACAGCAGACCACCAGCTTAACCCCCGTTCAGGCATTTGCCTCCACCTATGCACAATGCATCGGCTTCACACCTTTGCAAACATTCTGTGCTCAGGAGAGAATGCGCAGTGTGTATCCTGCATCAATCAACCCAATGAATGATCCACCTTCACCTGCAAGGTGCTAGTGCTGTGTTTTGCTGTACATGAGCAACTGCATTCAGGGCAAGTCATCACAAATACCATCATTATCACCATCACTATCACTATTTCTTAGTATTGCTGCTGCTGCTTTCATTATGCAAACAATACAATGCCACCAATGGACTTCACCCAAACCTTGAGAACCTCCACTGCCATTGCAACGCCCTGCGTGCCACGCAGCTTGGTACGCCCGATCTCTCGTACGTTGTCTCGCTCCTGCTCTGGCTGCTGCTTGGACCCACGCTTGAGCTTGAGCTCCTTTGACATGCAGCGCACAAGCACAACGCGGTCGCCTGCAAGCAACACGTTCCTTGCGGTGTATTGCACCATGTTGGGGTCATAAGGGCCAGCGTTGAGGACAATGGCAACGCGCCGTCCAAATTGCAACGTCGGCTCAACGCCCTGCCAACAAACAGCCAGCAAATCTTTGAGATGGTTTCTCCATTGTGGACGCATCCATCAAAAGGCAGCACCAACAGTTGTCCTGCATCTGAAAGGTGGCGATAGATGCAGCAATATCCGGCACAATGTTTTGGCGATTCCAAAGCACTATATGCAATGCAAGGTTCTGGAGCAAAGCAATCCAATGACTCACATAAGAGCTTGTCACAAGGCTCATTTGGCATCATGCATAATGTACAGACTCAAACGCCAGTCCCTGATGGGATGTGCACCCAGGTGAGTTCAAGCGATGTTCCTTCACAACCCACCTCTGGTTGCCTGGCCGCTTGAATTCGAAAATGCTCTCCAGAACTCAGCTGCACAGCACATCAGTGCAGTTCAGCACATAAATCAAATCATTGAAACAGAAAGGAGGCAACAAAGCAGCTGGCACAACCGCCTAACACCATTTGGCTACAGAATTTGTGTGACTCTCTGTACTGCACTCCTCGTGGTGGTTGAACAACCCAACGCACAACTGGTGTGCCATCCAAAATTACGTGCCGTGAATCTGTCTGTGTCTTATGCTATGTGTGTGCATGTGATGCATTGCACAATCGAAATGTCGTCCACAAGCAGTCGCGACGGACACATTTTCTTCCTGAATCAATGGACTGACAAGTGCCATTCCCGTTGCTATCAGAGATTTCTGCACCATATTGCATGGATTGTGAAAGGCTCGCAGATTTCTTCCTTTCTGGGACATCACCTTGGGCCCAACCACAATGCAGGCACATGGCGCCTGCTGAACCACCCTCACTGTGGTCCCCTTTGCCACAGTGCGTTTCACTCGGCTCCGGCCCTTTGAGCCTGCAAAATCGGTAAAAGAATGCTGCTCACAATCAACAGCCACATTCACCGAAACGGCACAAACGCTCAAGTTTGCAACACGATGATAGGCATTCGGGCTGATGGCTGTAGCAGGGTATCACACTGGTGCCTTCACAGCAACCCCTTGCCAGTTCCCAACAGCACTGTTTGCACCATCAGCAACCTGCTGCCTTCACTGCACTCTCCAGTCAGCTTCCAATTACAGTGTGAAAGCAGCCCCAGATCTACAAGGCTAGACAAGCAGCACAAGGGTGCATCACCGCAAGTGGTGCATCTCTAGGGGGATTGCATCGTCCTTAGGACATGGCTGGGGTCTCACAAAAGCAGCAGGTGAGGCGCTCTTGAAATAGCAAGGGTGCACAAGCACCAATGCAAACATCATGTGTTGCAGAAACTTGACAAGCTTTGGTTTGCTGTGCAGACAAGACTTGCAGAGAGTGGAACCAGTGCACCACAACACTTACAGTGCCATTCCTGAGCCATGGGCTGGCACATCTGCCCCTGGTGGCACCAGCCCCACTCACCGAGTATCATGATGTTTATGTCCCTGTCCTGTGCGAACTTCACCAGCTCTGCCACTGGATCCCCCTGCGCACCAAAACCTCAACCGTTGGCAGCAGCGCTACCTGCACCACCAGTCCCATTCTTCTTTCTGCTTCACTTCGTTCTTTTCTGCTTTTCTAGATGCAGGTCCAGCCAGCCCTGCCGGCAAAGCCCCTGGCAGGGTGGCCCAGCCGCGAACAGTCAGTATGGGCCAGCTGTGTGCCAGCAGATGCCACATCTGCCGTGGCACGGTCTGACCTGATGCACAGAGCGTGGGCGCCTTCCCCCCAGATCGATCCCCGAACGCAGGAGATGCCAGCACAACCCAGCATCTCCGCCGTGGGCCCTCCCTACTAGATTCACCAAGTCTCAGGAGTTGGAGTCTGGCCAAGCGGGGCAACCCACAGCGCCCCTTGCAAGGGAGGGTAAGATTCGTTCCAAAGACAGAGCAACTGGTCATACAATGGCCACTCACTCCTGAGCAAGTGCGCATGAGACACCTTCCCATGCCATGAAAAGTAGATGCAGACACTTCACAAGCACCACCAAGAGCGAGTCTGGGCCAGCAGGGCAGCCCACGGTGCCCCTTGCCGCGGGGTGGGATGGGTGGGTGGGTGGGTGGGGGGGTGGGGGGGTAACAGTGGTTCCAAAGATAGACAGGTCATACGATGGGCAACCCCTCCTGAGCGTGAGACCCCCTTCCGTGCCGTGCAAATTGATGCAGAGGTGCAACCCAAGTGCCACGGACAGCAAGGGCGAGGGGAAGGGTATGGCGTAGATGCGCGGAAATCGGCGCGAGTTTGGGCGCACCTCGAGCTCGACTACGCTGCAGTTGTTGCGCAGCTCCTGCAGGGCGGAGGTGACGTCCGGGAGGGCGGGGCCGCCCGCGCGCCACTGGGACGGGTCCCTGGGCTTGTTCACGTGCACGATTAGCAGCTGGTCCTCCAGGGAGGGGCGCTCCTGGTCCTGCCGGCACAGGCGGCCCACGCAGGCAGAAAATCATTCAGCAAGGCGGAAAGGGAAGCGAATGAGCGGAAGAAACGATAAGAAAGAGAAGGAAAGAAGGGGAGGGGGGAGTGCAGCATGTGAGTCTGCAGCATGCAAGCCGAGATGCCGGTTGACGATTCCTGGGCGACGCCGGCGATCGGCTGTCCGCGTGGGGCGCGGGGAGCGGCGCCCTGGGGCGAGGGGGAGGGGCGGCAGCCCGCGGTGGCTGCCGCCGCACGACCCCCGCGCATGGGCGGCATCGAGCGCCATCCAACCCAAACAGCCCCGACGCAGAGCCAACCCCCAGAACACGGCCATGGGCAGAATCATTTGCACACACTTCGCGCGCCTGCAGACTCGGTCGGCTCATGCCAACCAACGCCCCCCCAGGCATACACCCCCTTCCCCACGCCCGGCGATCCCCCCCTTGCTCATCTTTCCACTCAACTGCAATCCCACCTGCAGCAGCCGCTTCTTCGTGAACGTCCATGCGTAGTGGTTCTCCCTCGACGACCACACCCCCACGCACAGCGCGATCCTCCTTGGCCGCATCTTCGCGCGCCGCGCTCAGGGCTGCGGGCCAATCCGCGCCGAGGGATTCGATCTCAGGATCTGGCTAGCGATGGGCGGCTTTGAGCTGCGCCGGAAGGGTCGTCATAGCCGTGCGGGAGCGGCAACCGGGGTGGCTGGGTGGGCGTGTCTGGGGCGCTTGGAGAGCTGGGGCCTCGAGGCTGGGTGGGGTGGGTCTGTCCTGTCGGCCGTGACCCGTATCTGCGGCCGTGGCGAATCCGTGGCCGGCGATGACGTTGACAAATCCGGTGCGGGGGGATCACCGAAGTCGTTAGGCAATACTGTCAATCGATGATAACGCGTGGGCAGCCTTCTTGCAAGGTTTGGCGACTTCACGCGCTGGGTGTTGTTTCTTCGTGTGTTTTTCTCGGGGTTTCCTTTGTTCCTTGGGGGCAGCCGTGTGGCTTTGGCATTGTGTGCTTCTTCTTTCAGGCACTTCAAAGGGAGCTGCTAAGTTCTGATAAGCTCCATTTTGTTGCAATGTGACAACTGATTGATCATATCATCCGTGCCGAAACCATGACGCGACGGTCATTAGCTGAAGTACCGCAACGGGTGCTCGCGGTCCTCCGCAGCTGGACCAGTAGAGGTTAACATTGGCCGTGAAACGTGGGTGTGGGTTTTTGTCCGCTCCACATGAATTTTGATTACATTTTGTCTAGAACGTGGCGAGTGAAAGCTGCATGCTGTGATATATTTAGCCAGAGTAGACCACACTGTTCGAAGCTCCCTCAGGGCAGACATTTTGGCGATTTCGATCGACAACGATGCAAGGCCCCTGTGGGCTTTTTTGGTCCCCTCGCTGACAGCCCCTCTAGAAAATTACCATCCACACACGTGCAGAGAGGTTCCAAAAATACCCCAATTCCACCCCCAGACCTGCATCAGCCTGCAATCGATACAGTTATTCAACAAATTAACCACAAAAAGAAATATGTTAATGTAAGCACAAGGCCATCGGCTCCGTGCTTCGACCCAGATAAGCGGTTTCAACAACTTGATGGATGGAAGTCCATGGTGTGGCATCAATGATAACGAGGTTCTGCTAGTTCTATAGGGTTGTAAAATGCCCTGCCGTTTGGACCCTCCTTCCCTGAAAAGACTGCAACAACTCGGTTCCTGAACCGCTCAAATTCAAGCGCCTCCATGCCTCACCTTTTCGGACAGACATGCCAGCACCTCTACCCAGATTAAGCGCGTCGCACGCACTCTGAGAAATAAAAGAAGGGGATTCACTGGCGGCCAATGCGCGCCCAAGCAAGAAAGCACCTACATTCACCTAATATACAGAACACTTGAATGCCCACAAATCTGAATGTGCACATATGGGATTTGGAGGCCTGGTCTGTTCTCATCAGTAGCTTGCCCAAAATGGCCTTCAGCCGAACGACGCTGATTCCACAAATCTGACGACGAGTTGGAAAACCTCCTGGTTGTATGGCAACCGAGAGTGCCCCTCGTGGCACTCGCGGAAGTCATAATCCATCCCTTCCAGTCGCGTCTCGCTCACGCACACGGTGCCGTCGTTTGGGCCTGCGACCAAGAGCCCACGTCCTTCGTCAAATTCTCCAACACCGGGGTGACTGAGGGCTGTCAAACTACCAGAACACGGTCACAACGGGTTGAGGCGCCAGACCTCGGAATTGTCACCATGCAGTCCGCTGCACTGCGATTGCCAATAATCTCGTCATTGCAGCAACGACGGTGACACGATACGCTGAGATGTCATGTACGGTTTGACAATATGATGAGGCATCGTGTATGAACGTGTGGATCGACGGGAAATTGCGCACAGGTGTGCATATGCGCAGGGAGTGGGCAGCATCACTGCGTATCCGTGGGTGACCTGCTGTGAGATTGTAAGCATGCTGTGCTTCGCTGTGCACGGGCTTGCAACGGTCACACGGGCCTTTTACTGACGCACTGGGGATGCGTGGGACCCCGCCATGCCGCATTTGAGGTGCCGTGGTATCGCCCTGCCTTCTTGGGGCGCCGCTTGGTGATGCGGGTGATTGCTGGCCACATCATTGGCGGGCAATGGAACCCGCGACAGCAGCCGTCCGGGGTGAGAAATTGTGCTGGCCATCACACCCGGCACTTGACCAGCTATCGCAGGTTGCGTCGCCACTGCGGTTTTCAAATTTTCGACATTGCTGGCCGCAGCCGGTTGCCATCACAAGGGGCAAGGCGCTTATTCGCTTTCAGTGCAGGGGGAGCATGTCAAGCGGCGTTGGTCACGACCGTGATACGGCAAGAGACATGGCCATGACCAGGTAGGTTTTACGCACTTCAACGTCGTCAAGGTACGGATGTAAACTGTGTGGAAGCGGAAATCTTTGGAGGTAAAAGAGCACTCAATTCCACGTGACTCGGATGCTGAGCCACCGCCAGTGAGTGAGCAGAACGCATGGCATTCACAATGCTCTACAATTCTACTCCGCTACTCTGCACCTCTACTTGCTTCTCAGTCGGCAAGCTCTATGCAAATTTTCGATCCACACAGGCCGTGCGGAGCATTTCTCCTCATTGCCATTTTAGTCATTGCCGCACGTGTAATCGTCGAGCGCGATTCTTGCAGGGCAGCTGTGCTATTCCTGCAGGTCGTTGCCATGTTGATTGAATTCTGTTTCGACGAAGTTTTCGCACACTCAAGAAAAAAAATGTCCGCAAACAGGAGGGAATCAAAAATGTAGCTGCTAACCTGACCAAAATGGTAAACTGAACTGATAGGCGATGCAAGCCACCACGAATTATGACCTTTGCGTCAAAACGATTCAAGCAATGCTCTCCGCACTCTTTCCAACCTCTGCCATGCTACTATGCAAAGCATGCCGACGTTACCGGCGGAAAACTGTCCAGTTCAACATATCCTGTTCCGCGTTCCGACGTTACCAGCGGGAAAATGTCCAGTTTGACAAATCCTGTATCGCGTTCCGACGTTACCAGCGGGAAATGTCCAGTTTAACATATCCTGTTCCGCGTTCGATGCACGTTAGGTAGCTGCTTTTTATTGCAGAAGTAATACGCCACGCTCTAAACGCGATCAGATGGGGGAATCACAACATGTTCTCTCCGCCTATTCTCGTCAGTTCCCTGCAGCCAGGTTCAGTGTCCTGCCAGTGGATTCAATCCCAGACAGTGTTCCGGCTATTCGTCACGGAGTTTTTGATTCTCGTGGACATTGAATTTGGGAAACCGCCAGGCCAGTTCCGAGGATCCTCAGTACTCAGTGCAACGACTGATGCCCTGCATTGCCCTGAAGGCCCAGGGACAGCACATTGTCGCTTCCTGACAGACGCAACCAACGGCTGCATGCACCACTGCGCCGTATGTTACCTTTCAAGAGGTTGAAAGCAGTGGATACGAAGGAGGGGACGCTTGGGTACAGCGCCTTGGTGCCAGCAATGATGCCCACTGGCCCAGGAGGCAGCGGCCATTCAGTGTTCGGCCCTCCAAGAGCAGCAGCCGCCTCGCCTGCAACAGTCCGCCCAGTGTTCAGCAAACGCTGGTCAGATGTGCCACAGACCGCATCGCTGATGCACAACAATAGAAGCAGGTTGCTTGAGCTTCTGACGACTGCAATAGTTCACGCCGCTGGCCTACAACATGCTTGAAATATGCACTTCCAAATCGCGCACCGCACTGGCGGTGAGTGGCCCAAAGGAGTATCAAAAGCCGACAGCATGCATCTGTGGTCGCATTACGCCTCGCTTGGCTCTGTTTTCACACATGTAATGTTGCATTTCAGTATGTGCACAGAGTTACTACCCGCGCCGATCAAATGCGTCATCGGCTGACACGCTTATCATCACTGCTGATTATCTAGGCGAACGACGTTGCACAAAAATGCAACATTGTCGGGACGAGGCTGTTCTCATTTCAATGCTGGGTGCCGTATAATGCGGCTCTTCCTGTTTTCATTAGCGACAATATGAACAATAATATAAAACATTCATACAATCATCATATTTGATATATTTAATGACATGATCATGGAAATTAACGTAATGGCAGGTTTGAGTATTCCACCTTCTAAAATTGGGGATCGTCTCCATCACATTGTGTGCAGCCCACAACATCTTTGAAGGGCGTTGCGGCCGCAGGTCACTTAAGTCTTGCACCTGCATCGCTCGAAGTGATGGTAGCCTAGAAGCTAGACAGTAGAAAATGCTAGCTCCACGCAAGTCATAGCACGCAATAACGAGCATGGTAGAAGTGCGAAGCAACTCATATGGTGCATATAATGTTGTCAACATTATCATTTCTCATACCATGCCTACTATACATTTACACCAGTAAACGTCGAAGACAGAAAGAGCCCTAATCCAAGCGCCTATCAGCAGCTTCAAGGCGACCATCACGTTGCGCAGTATGGAACATTGTCACAAACAAATTTTCGCAGAAGAGGTCTTCTCCAACATGTGACGAGTTTCCATTCCCTGCAACAGTGAATCTCTGCCTTGCACGTTCAGCCTAAAATTTTTCCATTTTGACAAGCCCAATGGATGCACATCACACACGCACCAAAACCAAGCCTGAAGAGCCCGCCGAAGGTGGTGCCCAAAAGGGCACGTGCAAACGAGCTGCCTTGGTTGGGAGGCCCCAACATGACCGCCCCCCTCCATTTGACGCCTCCGCCATCCGGCAGGTTGCTCACAAGCCTCAGGATGACTCCGCCCATCGACTGGGTCACAGCAAAGGCATCTCCCCCCTGGCCCACCTCTGACCTGATCTTCCGGGCAACGACCAGGGCGGCATCTTCCAGCTTTGGCCTTGTGGAGTAGCCTATGTTAATGGTGCTGCAACCAGTTGTGGCTTCCACATGCCTGTGGACACCATGTTGGCAAATCCGCTCAGCCCCTCTGAACTCAATGTAGGAATACGAGCTGGCCTTGAACTGAATTTTGAACTTGAGCTGACTTCCATAGATTGGTGTAAATGCAGTGCTTGTAAATTCCAATACACAGAATATGCTGTGTAGGATGAATTTCAATGGACTTTTGAACTGAGCTAGTCCTTCACTTCATGACGGGATTCTATCACCCAGCTTTTCAGCATTGCGTTGGCCTCCAATCAAAAGGGTGTGGCATCCCGCACTATTTGTATATCGTCTTTTGCACATTCTATTTCAGGGAAATCCAGGGAATCCAAACACCATTCCTCCGATGGACATCGGAAAACGGAACACGAGATGCTGAACAATGCTCTGGCAGGAACAGGCAAATGCAAGCATCCTTTGTCCTCCCAATTTCACCGTGTACTTGACCATGTGCTCGTGTCAGCCGTCTCCTGTAAACCGTGTGATGTGCATGCCTACATTCAACAAAAGCAGCAAAACTGGATGGTATGGGACGATCCATGCAACCGCTTTTTCCCACCCAGGGGTACTCACACCTGAAGTAAATGTCATACATGGATGGCTGTCCAGGCATGCATCCTGGTAATTGTGCTCGCGGAAGAGTTGAATCATCATTTGCTGCAGCTGCACGACTGTCGCAGATTGTTGCACTTTTGCATAACAGAACACTTTACCTGGATGCTTTGCATCGCCTTGAGCTGTCTTGCTAGGTGGCAACAGGAACAGAGAAATGGGTGACCATGCGTAAACGCAACTGTTAGGAAAAATGATGCAAACATGATACAACATGGTGCCTTCAGCGACTTGCACAAAACTCTTCTTGCCGGGTGGCTAACAGGGCCTCACTTCTTCTATTGGGAAGGATGGGGCACATAAACTCATGAATGTGGCCAAATTTTGGAATAAATGAGTAGATAATTGCTGCTTGACCATATGGACACACCAGCAGCTGTGTGTAATGTAAAGAACCTCGATTCAATAATAAACAGAGGCAATGCTGTGTCATTTTGGATCAGTACAATCCAAGAAATCCATGCATTGCAACGACACAATGCAGAGAAGTATTGCCCGCCCGCCATTTGGAACTAGCAGATGATCCAAACGAATCATGCAACGGCTAACAGAGGGTTTGGGAAAATTTAGCCTAGCAGATTGCAGTACAGTATTGCTCTTCCTGTGGGTGGCAAAGCCACTCATCGTCCTTGAGTCGCCTCAAGCAGAGCAAAACCTGGAATGGTCATTCCAATTGCACTTGCCAACACAGTTCGATGTTTTAGCAGGTGCTAAGTAATACTGAAGAAGACCACCTTTGGCATGCTTCATGCTGGAGACAATCAGACGCTTGCTTGGCATCCATTCACACTGTTGATGGTGTCTGTTGCTTGACAGTGGTTCTGTTTGTTTTTGTGTGAGGGAGAGTTTTCAGTTCTTCAGGGCCAAGTACCTTTCTCTTTGTTGCCCATCCCTTGAGAGCTTTATCCCCCTAGCAACAACAACGGCCATTGCACCTTGCGGTTTTGCAACGGGCACCAACCCGCCCTCCTGACTGTGGCATGTTTCCAATCTCTTGCCTCCAAAAATCACTGCAGCCACAATTTGTACTGATGGCGAGAGGAATGGCCTGGTAGATGCGAGCATTTCAGGAGCGACCAGTGTCATACAAATCAAAGAGGCGCGCCGACTGACGCCATCTCAAAAGGTGAAGCAACAATTCATGTTTATTGGGACAACGTGCAGTGGTCCGCGCCCGTCCCAGCACCACCCGTTGTCTTCTCCACCACTAACAAAGTGCGACAACGATTTTCGACACCGTGCTCGTTCAGATGGGGATGCGCATTTTGTGACGTGTTTGTTTCCTTTCCAAAAAGACAGCCTGCAGCGCGGAGGAGCGTTCATGGGCGTGCACCCCCCGCACCTTCTCAACTTCTCCAAGGACCTTGGTCCCCTGGCCAGGCCGTGGATGAAGACTATCGTTGGCTTGTAGTGGATTGGCGGCGGCTGAGTAGGTGCCTTCGCCATCGAGGGCGCCTAGCTTGAGTTGGGTCAGCTTGTCTTCTTCGCTTAACGGGCATTCATGGCACGGGCAAAGACGTTTTATGGGTTACACGAATGACAATTCAACGAATGACAGCGCGACATGTGTGCATTACGTAACTCTCCCGCTGTACCGACACATACAACCCTTCTGCATAGTAAGGGAAGACACTATGTCGAAATTGTGAACGTTTAACTTCAATTTGGCACTAGGGGGAGCCATACATGTGACCCTCAGAGATTATTTAATTGCAACAAAACGCAACTAAAAAGTGGCAAGAAACTTGTGACCTGTCTCAAAACTTCCCTTTACTGTTCAGACTTAACGAAAAGCCCCGTAAAATCTCGATTGGCGGGCTTTAAAACTGCCCCCATTATTTGCCATGAGTTTTTCATCCTAGTTTAAAAGAGTGGGTGTGGGTGTGGTAAGGTGGTATTACAAATTAACAAGCCGGAACCCCTCCTTTTCCACCAATATTGCAGGCGGTATTGGAGGGAGCCTTGTAACAATATAAGGCACAAAATAGGAGAGCACATTGTAGGTCCACATATCGAGCGTAGTAGTCATCCACGGTGTTCAAGCTAAGCAGACCCACAAGAAAATCACCAAGAGATATGACAACGAACGAAATCAAAAAAAAAACAAAATGTGAGAAACATAAGGAAAAGCGCAAGGGAGCAGCACAAGCATTAACCCTAGCAACAACCAGAAAGACAACCCCCCAATGTCCAAAGACCCAGAACTAGTAGTACCATCCAGGGCCAACCACCTTGGAAAAACCACATGCAAAGTATGGGGCCAAATGCCCACATCCAGATAAGCAGCGAGGCTGGGTAAAACTCAACACAGGTATCTAAAATAAGGATTGGGGGACTGAGCTCAATATCAAATTGATACTAAGCATACCAAAATTGACATAGCGACTCTCCTAACATAACAATTTGTCCTTTTTGGTGGAGAAAATGATAAAACTATTGTAGAGTAACAAACAAAATGTATATCTAAAAAGAGAAATGCAGAGCAAAAAGTATAATGGTAAAATTCTTTGATGTGGAAGGGTTGAATTTATTGCGGCAATGCCTTTACCTCAGTGTGCTTGGTGTGGTTGCTAGTAGCATGTTTCCTTTGTTCAAGTAAGCTAGTTCATCTTCTAGTTGAACAGAATGTCAAAAATATGACGAGCTTCGATGGACACTGATTTGGACATTTGGACATTTTATCTTAGTAGTGAAGACTTAAGGGCTTCTCAATCTGGACTTTGCCAGGAACAAAACGGCAATCAAGTTAAGTGACCAATTATTCATTAGCATTGTATATTTTGTTTCCTTTACCTTGGCTTCTTTTGGGAGACAAATATTGATAGTATCTGGTCGACGTCACAAAACAATCTCAGTGCAAAAATTTTGTGATGTTGGGTGGAAAGAATCCCCACACCAAAAATTCTTCAGGCACACAAACACACGGTGATTTTGAGCAGTGCTTTTTTTTTGTTTAGCCTTGCCAGATGTTATCCAAATAAAAGTTGTTTTTCAAAAATTTCCTGGATACCTTGTTTGAAATAAGGTGCTGTGGGACAAAATTTGCCAGACGTGGCTGCCATGGTGAGCAACAACAATACTTAAAATGACAATGTCATGGTCATGTTCATGATGAGTACTGATTCAATAGCCTTGATGAAGTCAAGTATAGTGATCTTCACTACTTTGGGATTGGCTGCATTGGTGAGGCCGGCAGTTGGTGAATGGTGCATAAGCAACCAACTTTGTGTACTTCCAAATTGCCAAAACTACTAATTGCATGCAACAAAAACCTTAATAGATACAATCAATGGTAGTGCTCAACCTCCATCTCATCTAATGGAAAACAACAAGGGAAAATGACCAAAAGGTGTCCTCTGAGAGATATCTTGACAAAAGAGGGTCCTCTGTGACAAAAAGGGGACCTCTGTTGACGTGGCCGCTCAGCTTTTTTTCTGCTAATTTACTTCTGTACTTTTTTTGAACACAAACAATCCGTCTGTCGATTTTCCATTACTTTGCCGGGGCTTGGTTTTTGTAGTCGTTAATGCCACGTCAGCTTTCAATTTTCTGGCTCTGGAGCTGTCCGTCAAGGGGGTGTTTGTAGCCACCATTTTTTGTAAATGTCCTTTTTTCTATTGCCTTTCCTTGCGTTCCATTGCCATCTATTAGGAACTTGGAGATTCCAGTAGTGTTCTGTTGGTCAACGGCGGTTTTTGTTGGAGGCAATTTTTTCCAAGCGGATTTTTTCTCTGTGTCCAGCAACCTTTGCCTCTATATACGGGCCACAACAGTGATATGACGACGTGCAATATTAGTACATGTATAAACAATGCATGTTTATATATTTGCAGTCCATGCCATCATAAATGCTGCCTCGGCCGGTACTCCTTGCCAGACCGGGGACGCAACCCACTGTTCTTTCCCGGCCATCCCTTGCCAACGCCAGACTATATTTATTAACACAACCTATTGTAAACGAGGCGTCTGGCCATCCGGTCCAGGAACAGGACCCACTCTGTGGCGGTTATCCATCACCTTTACCAAAGTACACTGTACTTTGTACTTAGTACAGGCGTCCGTACTTGCTCCATGAACTTTGATGGAATTCTGTCGACCTCTGTGGTTTGGTCAACGGTTCTGTTACAGGAGCCTATCATCCGTTGGTTGCGGCGTGGATTTTGTAACCCGTGGTTCCATTTTGGAAGGCTGTGTGGATTTTTGTAGCTATCTATGCTGACGTCAGCATAGCCCCGCCCATTTCTGTAAAACCCTTTTTCTCTCTGTAGCCCGCTCACAAATTCTGTTGACTGTACGGAATTCTTACAGAGCCAACCAAATTCTGTTGTGGATGGACAGAGGGGGCCACCTCTAGTCCTCTGGGGGCGTGCATTTGACAAAAAGAGGTCGTCTGACTGACCCCTGTACATTAGATGCGTTGCCAGACCGGCACCAGACCGGCGTCATTCGGCAAGCTTGTCCTTCTAGGGGCGACCCCGCAGAGGGCCCCCTTTTATCAAATTTTCATCTTGGTGGTTGAATTTCAATCAGATGTTTAAATCCCTAGCAAAAACAGACAACTTCCACTAAGCACACTCGCGATCGCCGAAAGAGGCTCTGCCATAGCTTCGACTCACCCTTGCTCTTGCCAGAGCCCCAGTCGTTGCTTGGTCTCCCCTGTAGCTCCAATCGCTATGACTCCCCCACACAGCTCCGATCACTGAGTGCTCTCTCTGGCAGCTCGGATCGTTGCTTGGTCTCCCTGGCAGCCCCAATCACCGTGACTCTCCTTCATACCCCAATCATTGTGGCGCCCTCCCAAGGGTCGCCCCTAGTAGGACCGTGGTTCGGTCTAGCACCAGACCGGTGCCGGTCTGGTGTCGGTCTGGCAACGTATCTAATATATAGGGGTCGGTCATAGGACCTCCTTTTGTCAAACGCACCCTTGCAGAGGACCTCTTTTGGTCACAGAGGACCCTCTTTTGTCAAGATATCTCAAAGAAGACCCCCTTTTGTCATTTTCCCAAACAACAAAGTATACACATGTTAATGGGCATACACACTCATCAATTTTCTTGCATAAGAAGTTTTTGTAGAGCACAAGGTGTAGCACTATAGCAAAGCGTGGAAAGGTGGAAGGCCCCAATGATGCCAGTGGTGCCATTTATATAAGCCGGTAGTACATTAGGATAATAGTACATTATGATTATTGTACATTACGACTTGTACATTATATATTTCATTATACACAATGCACGAGGTATAAGTGTGCACAAAGCACACCGTGTGAAATCTCACTTTTGGGTCTCGGCAGTGTTGGAGAAATTGTATGGACATCTGAAGAAGTGTGAGTTCTTTAGGACTGAAGTCAAGTACCTCGGGTTTGACGTGGGGGCAAATGGTGTGAAGCCCTCATTGTCCAAAGTTGAGGTAATTCTGAATTGGCCTACCCCTGAGAGTATCACAGACGTCAGATCCTTCTTGGGGCTAACTAACTTTTACAAGAAGTTCATTAGATGGTTCAGCGAGATTGCAACCCCACTAACAGACCTCACAAAGAAGAATAGATAGTGGAAGTGGAGTGATATAGAGGAGCAGGCATTCAACCGATTGAAGACAGCTATGGTGACAGCACCCGTTCTTCAGCTACCAGACTTTGACCGTGAATTTGTGGTAACAATGGATGCCTCAGATGTATCAGTTGGAGCCATCCTGCAGCAGGACTTTGGTAGTGGACTACAGCCTATCTGTTACGAGAGCCGAAAGATGAATCCTGCTGAAATGCAGTACAGTGCTTACGAGCGGGATCTATTGGGTATTGTGTGGTCGGTTGGAAAGTGGAGACATTATTTGGCCTACAACCACTTCATTATCAAGATGGACCAAGACAGTCTAAAGAATTTACCAAACCAACCGTCAGTAAATAAAAGGGTTTGGAAATGGTTTCAGATCTTGCAAAGATATGATTGCAATATTGTCCACATTCCGGGAAAGAACAACCCTGCAGGCTTCCTGTCCCATCGGAGTATCTGGGACATTCGCAGTATGGTGGATGTGCAGGTGCAAAAAGAGTCGTTGGTCCAAAGATGGAGGCTGGGAGAGGATGCTCAGTCTGATGATGCTATACAAAGGAAATTGGACGATGTATTTAAGAAGTCCAAGTTAGAAATCCCCAGACAGAGGGAGCCGACGAGGGAATCCATTCTTTATTTGTGACATCCACACAAATAACGTTGGATACATCTTTGAAGGAATAGATAGAGAAAGGATACCAAGAGGATATGCAATGGGATGATATCATAAGACAACTGGTTTCGTCCCAAGTACAGACCGTTCGTGTAGGTATCCATGTCTATCGGAAGGCTCATAGATTATTGGAGGTGCACAATAGAGAGGAGGACACAAATATACACCGATGGAGAGTGGTCATACCTGATATACCGGAGGTTAAGAGAAGGATTATGGGG